TTCCAAAAAGTGATAGTTGCTTGTGTGGAAATGATGCATAGAAAGAAGTGCAGCACACCAAAGTCGAGATGGAGCGAAAGCTGGTTGCTTTGAGTTGATATGAACAAGTAACTGAGTTCGATGGATTTTGATCCAAATGATGACTTTTTTAGTCGAAAGCCAACGATTGACGACACGAAGGCATGTAGTTTGCATTTCCGCGATCAAATTCTGCTGTCGTGTCAAGTGAGTGATGAATCCAGTCATCACTGCAAAAAATCGTTCTTTGATGACATTGTTCATTACCTCTTCCATAACCAAATCTAGTTGATGCGCTCCGCATCAAATCCGAATTAAAGTACAATCCTTGTGCATCACGTCGTCAAGGCGAGTAACAACCCCAATAATCCATCCAGTCATATTGCGAGCCCCATCCGTCGTCAAACCAAGAAGACGATTTGTCCAATCAAGACAAAGCACTGTCAAAAACTTGCTCACCATTGTAAACATAACTTCACCTGTGTGGCGATCAAACATTGGAAGTGCACAACCATGCAAGTTAACAATCGAATGATAGTCGCGAATGAAAATCCGGAAGCGTATGTCAAGAAATGAAGTGCTTTGATGTGTCGCTGAGTCGAGTGCTAATGAAAATGCCCACGAATGCCAAAGAAATTTCGCAATCTTTTGTAGATTGGCAGCGCAAATTACCCGAACAAAGTTACTGATATCGTGACGAGAACATGCACGTAAAGCAGGATTGCCCAAAACATTATATGTACAACCGACAAGTTCGGATGCCATCCGAAATGATGTCCCACAAGATACATATCGCATAGCAAGGCAAAACAACATTGTTTTCGTCTTGGGGATCGTCACTAGGTAAAAGTAATCCCCATCAACGTCCTTCAATTCAACGCGATGAAACAATGATAATGCTCGTGCTTTGGATTTGTCTACTGCCTCTCGTCGTTGGCTTAGTTGGGTATTATTTTCGTCCATACTACCAAACAAGTGTACATCTTCTTCATCACTTTCTTCTGCATCTTCAAGATTAAACATCATATCGCCGACAACGGTATTGACAACATCTCTTTCGATTTCATATACAAGATCTTCTTCATCTTCCAAAGAAGACGGGAAATGGGCTTTAAGAGAATTCTTAAATGCAATGGGCCCATCATCAAAAAATGATTTGCAATCTAAAGAAGTTTCTAAAGTTTGATACACATACCATTGTTTAGTATGTTGGGTACAAAGATAGTGTTCAATATTGTCATAACGAAAGTGTGATTGCCATGCTTGCACAGAAGAAACAACTTTTTGTTTTGCATCTGAATTTTCTTCCCGACCAAATGTGATGCAAAAGCGACATTGCACTCCTATCACTTTTGCCGATTTGGTGTCACGAGTTACAACTTTCAACCCGAATTTTTCATCATTACCTTTCACGTAAGCAGATGGACGTTTTTTTGTCATCGTAAATGTGACAAAAAATTCCTGTTCTTTCCATGTGATAGATTCTTTCTTCACTTTACCTTGCATAATTTCAGAAAACAAGATAATTAGAATACTTAAATAAAAGAATCTATGAAGATATTAATTGAGAATGTAGATGTATCAAAATTATCATATCAAGGTTTTCTCACAGTGCAAAAGTTTAGTTTTCCCACAGAAATTATACTCTCTTTGCCTTCTACCGTTTTTTTAATTCTCATCTTCGTCATTTTGTTCTTTCAAGATCTTTCCTTCGCGATCAGGATTCCGTCCAGAAACTTCTCCCCTGTTACAGACCGTGACTGTCATGGTGCTTCTCGCATGGATGATCACAGAGTGTAGCCAAGGAATTTGGTTGGAATATCATCCAATCACAGATTCTCGTCATGGTTGTGCCTCCCTGTCGGTGGAGCGTAGATGTGAATCTAGAACGAAATCTTTGAGTATGTGGAGACATCTTCCACAAGCACATCAACTTACATTGAGAGGAAGATACAGTCTGAACAGTACCCTTATTTTCTAGTATTCTTCATTCATCCCGTACCGAGGCTGAGAATGGACTTGCTACTTACGTACAGAATGAACCAAACGATATTATAAGTCCAATATGAAGGTAGTAATTTAAAATTGAAGTACCAAGTATTAGCGAAAAAGGATTAAACTTTCGATCCTGTTCAGTTCCACCCTCTGCCATGGAAGATAGGCGAACAAACAACGCACAAAGGCAGCCAGCCGTTCGAAACAGGCACTAAACCGCGGTCTGTCAGTTTCTTGAGATTGTGCAGTGTTTACTTACTGTCCACAGGAGTGAGAATCTGTCAAAGCTCATCCATCCCTCAAAGCGGGTGCAGCCTGAGTACGTGAACAAGATTCAAGCAACGAGCGATGCATCTCTTTGCAATTTTTTCATCTCAGATGTCTGTCCTGAATCACGCCAAATTATGCGTCCACATTTCGAGTAGACTAGGGACGCTTCATCAATGGTCTTCAAGTTTGAACGTTGCAGTCGTCACGATCACATGCATCACGTTTATGAAGTATTCTGTAATCCTTGGATCAAAGAACGTTCACCGAGTTAAGAGGTTGACCCTTCGTTCAGGGATCGAGGTAATGTATGATCGAGATGAAGTGACATCCGTGTTATCTCCGGTACAAACTGCACTCGATGTTTAACTAGAGGTACGTACCTGACATTTTGGGCAGTAGTCTCACGTTTCCCCGAAAATTCAATCTTCCTAAATTACAGCACTTTGATCTCATAATTTTTCTATGAATCTGATCGATGTCAACCGAGATGAATCTAGTTGGAGTATCCATGGAATCTAGATACCAGATTTCAGTATTCATATCAACTCTTCCTGCCCGGACCTTTTCCTTTATGTCTTCTTTTGACTTCTAAATGTACCCAAACCAGAAATATGGGCACTTAAGGGCTCGCAGGTTGTCAACCAGAAGCAAAAGAAAAAGCAACTTAGCAGAAGAATTTACAGCTGCATCTGGTTCTATGTGCACATCGATGAGTGCAAAGCAAAGAGTTACGCAAGCATTTAATCCAACTCCTGAAGACACGCACTGAAAAGTATGTGAAAATTACCTGCGCAGTCCCGGGCTAACGACAGGAGGTCGAAGAGGAACTCTAGCGGGAGGAGTTGCAAACTCAGCACTTCAATCACAGTAACTCGAACGGGAAAATGAGACACAGGAAATACGAACTGGAACTTCGGGGCTGACGAACAGGAACTACGGGGCTTCAATCACAGTAACTCGAACGGGAAAATGAGACACAGGAAATACGGACAGGAACTCAGGGGCTGACGAACAAGAGGTCAAAGAGTAACTCGAACATGAACTCCGATGCTGACGAACAGGAGGTCGAAGAGGAACTCAAAGAGCAACTCCGTGGCTGACGAACAAGAGGTCAAACAGGAACTCGAACAGGAACTCCGGGGCTGACAAACATGAGATTGAAGAGGAACTCAAAGAGGAACTCCGGGGCTGACGAACGGGAGGTCGAACATGAGATCGAACACGAACTCGAACATGAACTCCGGGCTGACGAACAGGAGATCGAAGAGGAACTCGAACAGGAACTCCGGGGCTGACGAACAGGAGGAGTAACTCGAACGGGAGAGTGAGATGCTCTGACAAACGAAAACTGTTCTTTAAATATTTTCTTCGAGCCAAAACTCTGTTACAGGGAGTACTCTGTGTCAATTTCTTATCGGGTGATGACTTCTTGATTCGGTTAGGCTCCGAATCCGGCCCATTTTAGTTTAGGCGCCTAAACTGGTGGGCGTTTAGGTCATTTAGGCGCCGACATATAGGGTCGACTATTTGAACCATGCCTGGGCATACCTTATAAACCGTTTATCATTTACCATCGGCAGTACCAATCGTGTTGTTCTTGAAATCTGCAGTTCCTAAACAAGCGAAAGATGTAAACGAAATGTTTTTTTGAGCGCTCGCTCCGCAAGAAAGTATCCATCCATTGCTTGGTAGGCAATTCGAAAAGATTAGCAATGCTCTACAAGTCACACGTGTCATATTCTCGAAATAAAAACCCATACATCTAGCATGGCATAATCTTACGTTTATATATGTGCGATTTTCGAATGATCACCTTCGGTAAGATAATCTGGGCGGTGTTGCGGCCGCCTGTAACAAGGGCGGGAGGTGTAGACATTGCCGTAGAAGGGTCTCCCTGCTGGGTCTGTTAGTCACTTAATGACGTGTCCACCCGAGGCAGTGGGTTTTCGCTGCCTCTTCGTAAGGGAAATTAGTGACTGTCATCATGCAGGAGGTAAGGCGTGAGGAGGGCGCAACCGAGCAACGAGTACCCCTCGCCCTGTCCAGTCGGAGTATCGCATGCCTGAGTGTCACGCTGGTCGCACACCCCACGCTACCAGCCACCAATACCCACAAACTTTTTCGACCTCTCAACTGTGTGAGACCTTTCCTCACACTCATGGTCTGTCTTGCACGCTATTGTTTGTATTGTTGGTTTGCTTTCGAGCTAAGTGTCTCGTCTCATGATACTTGTACAAAGTTGGACAATAACGTTTCTGGAATTCTCGACATGAAATCCTTGTCCTTTCTTTTCCCAGTACTTTCAAGCGATGAACTATGGATCATTTTTTTCCCGTGTCATTCCTTGATACTTGTTTAGGTCTTGTCAAATGGGAGTGTCTTTTTGTCTTGGAAGAAGAGCAATCATTATGTGGTCTCGTGGGCACTTGGAGTTTGTTATCATACTCTTTCGCATGCGATAAGATATTGGACACAATAGTTTCAATGAAGTTGCTTCGAAGTTCCATTTTGTATATGTTATGTAAACTTTGTATACCTATAAATATCAACCCTCGATCACAAACATGAAATATATATATTAATGTATGACTAATGACATGATGAATAGATATATATGTGCTCAGAGACAATATTAGCATCGCTAATACATGAAATGTGGCCCCGTCACGTGTCACAGGTAAACGGCCAAATACACACTCATTTATCATACACATTTGCCCTTTCGTTGTTTTATTCTTTCGTTGACGTGTAGAGTTCAACAAAGGATGCGTAAAGGGAGTTGGACACCTTTCCTATGCCCGAGGCATAGGAAATTGCCTTTCTTCGGAAACATCATGACTCTCGATAACATGTGGCAAAACAATCTTTAGTTTTAGCCCACTAAAACCATAAGTGGCGGACTCGGATATGTACATATAACCTTCTGAAAATCATTCTTCTCTTTGCCAACGAACTTCTTGCAGGAGACTACTAGCTTTACATTCCACCTTCCCAAGATAAGATCTCCTCACAGGGTTCACTAGCTTATCTGATAAACGGCCATTTGGTCTTTCACTTCGAAATTGAGACCAAACTTCTCCGGTGTGAAATCAATTATGGTTATTCTTAATGACATGAGCCTTTTGTCAACTGGGTAACACACTGCAAATGGCATGTAGGGTCTTCCGCCTACCCTTCGTGACATCTTTCACGTGTAAGCCAGTCCCAAGTTTTCAGAAGGCTTGCAATAACAGATGAGATGCAAACAAGAAGCACATCTCGATCAATTCTGATGGTCTTTTAGCAGACTCTCATCTACAGTCCTTATATTGAATCTTTAAGACTGCATCCGACATCAGATTCTTGCCATCTTCTACAGATCATCAACCCCTTACATGTTGAAAATCTCTTCGTATGACAAATCATATCACCCCGGCAGACACTTCTTTCTCTGCACCGTACAATTTCGAATATAATTTTAGGCATCATGGTCACAACCTTCAATAGCTTTGATAAATATGATATGCCTTTAAGAAATGACAAATGACATCGCTCATTCACACGGCACAACAAGAACATTTGGATTTGGAGATCAACTCTATTGAAATCCTATCGTCTACGTCTTCTGTTGTAAAATTAAAGGAGAACGAACTTGAAACAGACATACTGATTAACCATCGCCTAGCACATTTCCTGCCTTACTACAGATATTTCTCTGGATGATACCTGTTCCTCAATCAGATCCGACGTTTGAATGAGACGCCTTCTCAACACAGTAACCTCATCTTCACAGGTGCTGCCTCCGATCTTCTCAGCTAAATCTGTATGCAAGATAGTACTTAAAAACATTGAGATCTTTGTTTGCTTAAGAAAAAAATAAAACATAACGTCAACGGAATTGATAATTAACATCTTCAGTACCACAGAGGTCTTCGCTCACCATAATAATATGATGACATTATGCTGATTCGCTCGACAGGCTGCAACAAAATGTCGAAGACGATTGGGTAAATAATCTGGAGGCATTACTGGCTCTCTCCTTCAACTCTACAAAGCACGGAGTCTACTGCCATCTTGAAGGGAGGAAATTTAGAAAATCAACCTCTTAAAAACTCTGCAAAGTGCTCTAAGTTTTGAAGTCATCATATATAGGCCTTATAAGCTAAGTAGTTTCAACAAAAACACAAACGCACAACGAGAGACTGGTAGGAGAATGAACCAGCATGGATACCAAAGTCTGACAGGATATTAGAAAAACAGTAGGTCCAAAGTTTTGTATCCTCGTTTACCATAACAAAAATGCCCTCCGTTCTTGTAGGCAATTCCTCGAGTTTTGAAAGAGTTTCATAACCCTTTGTAACCTTTCCGAAAACAGCATACTGCGGATAATCGATGGCCAACAAGGTGTTAAACTCAAAAACCTGAAGACCAACTTTCCAACGATTATCCACGCGTAATTATTGTCGGAAATGCTCATATAATATCATGTAAGCTCTTTTCACGAACCTCACAAAATGCATGAGAGTTTCAAAGAGCATGAAACTGAGGCACTATTTACCTGTCCATCAAGATGAGGTGCGTTTCCCAACAGCATTGAGAACGAAGAAGCAGCACTATCTGGATCGCTGTATCTGTAGATTATCAACACAGAGGAGGACGGTGCTTACTACCTCTTGTCATTACGTTTATTTGAAACTGATGTAAAGCCCTCACTTATACGAAAGAAGTGTTCATGTAAGAAGCGGACCGACGATGCTACAACTATCCAAAATGCCTATAAAACGAGCTTAGTCTAACGACAGTCCAACTGTAGTCAAAGTAACCACTCCAGGGTAGCGAAAAGTCTGTAATTGTTCTATGAAGACTGCAATCCAATCAAAAACCCTGATCATCTTGGGGCTCAAGTACATTTATTTGTGATTCCATACCTCCCCATAGAGAGAGTGCCACGAACATGTTTGACTTTTGAAAATTCCCCGGGAATAGTTTTCTCTCCTTCTTCTCGCTGCTCTGCGTTTAGTGGAGCTTCTCGACCTCCAACAACATCAGCCACTTGTGCGACAAAGCCTCTGTCCACCTATTGAAACAAGACCATGCAGTCAACATAGCCCTATGTGCTCAAAACGATCAGTCAGCTTACATAATAATGTACCCTTGAGATAATGAGCCTGTCAGCTGGTAGCATTTACAGGCCTCGAGCTTCCTGGAGCTCCGTAATTATAAAGAAGATCACTTACGCGAAAGAAGTGGTTCGAGTTGTAGGCACCAAGTTTAACAAGCTTCAATATATGCTTGACAGTGATTGGAGCTACTTCAGGATAGAAACCAAACTCAATATCACCATATTTCAGCTGCAGGGTCCAACGAATGCATTCTGTGATCAGCTTGGAAACTCTTGGACGTGATGAATTTGTTACGCTACCAAAATTACATCCAATGTATAAAGAAACTACATACAATGTTTGCCTGCATTACTCTTCACAGACCTACATTGACAAACAAGCAGCTCTCAACATTAAGCTCCACTGAGAAGCACACGAGCACCTCATCAACGTGTACCTGATCTAGATATGCCATTCATACTAACCGTACAACTAATGGTTACGGATGACATTACAGACCGACAGTCTCTACAAAAAGCAAGATGATTCCACGAGCAAAAGCGCCGAGAGTAATACGTACCTGGAAAACAACCCGGATCGAACCAAGCCTCGCTTCCTCCAAAGCCTTAACTTCACTGCTAACAGTCAGAAACCCCAGCAACAGGAGCAGGGGCAGTACACCGCCGATAAGCCGCGACGAGATCGCCATCTTGTACACCACTAATTTATTTCCCTTTCCTCTCCGACCCTTCAAGCGCTCGCCATCGACACAAGAAAAAATCTCTCTCTGCAGCGAGCCTCATTAGACTACCAAATCACTATGCCATCTGCCAGCCGTGCGGGTCAATCGGTCGACCGCTCGACGATCGAGCATACCCACAAGCCTTAGCCTGGACACGGAAACGAGAGATCATGACATGAAACACGGGCACACTGCCAATTTCATGACATGATTAGCGACTGCCGCCATTTGACTTCTGCGCCAACATCCCTGCGCTTCTTCCCCAACTTTCTCCGACACTCCGACCCCAAGCTGCCAGTTCTTGATCTCCATGAACGACTGACTGATTACCCACGGCGCACCTGTAACCTCGGCCCCGATTCTACTGCACTGCACTGCAGTCTTCTCTGACGACGGGGTTGGCAGGTCAGTTCCGATCCGTATGGTCGATGCCGAAGGTCAACATGTTTTCAGAATATTGACGAGAATCTTGAGGAGAATGAGGCCTCTAGTTCATTTTTCGAGGCATCGCTATTTTGGACCAGTGGAAGGAAAAGGGAAGATATTCCAGATGCACCAATGCTTTGAGCTTTGTCTCTCTTAAAAAAGAGCTCTCGCAACATGTGCAGATATAGCGAGTTTGACCCGTTGAGACCGGTGATGTTCCTCTGGTCTCTTGTTATTCTGATTGTATTATCTTCAGCGCAGTGGAACTCGACACTCTACTTACATTGTTCAGAAGTTTAATTTATTTTTTTTTCGTTGTTTATATTCTTGTGTGAATATTGGTTCATATTATCTGGTTACCCATCGTTCATATCTGGCTACATTGGATGATTCAATTAGTGAAAATTTATGAAAAAAAAATATAAATCATTAAATTTTCTCAATTATCAAGTATCCAACGGTTGATTTAGTCACTTAAATACAATAATAATTTTAATCAATAGTATTTCTTTTATTTGAAAAAAATCTACATGTTTATCATTTCTTTATATTATGATGGTATATACACGCATACTGTAAATGTAGGCTAATGATGTGAGACATACAAGGATGATCTACATACATTGACATGTTATCGTTTTGATATATTTATCATTAACGATTTGGATAAATTTTCATGATCAATATTGAAGTATGTGCAAGTTCATTTGTATTAACAATCATTCTAAATAAATTGAATATTCTTTGTAATACTTTCACATAATTATGAAAATGCTCAAGCTTTAGATGTAAACTTGTGTATTTAATTCTATCATATATTATGATGTTTATAATGCGTCAAATACTTATCTTACACAGATAATGTTCTGACTTAATTATAGTACATCCATCTACATCCACATCTTCATTGCATGAAAAGATGATGAAATACAATTACATTAGATAATAAAACATATTTCAAATAATTTTTTGTATTATTTTTTAACATTTAAATAGTATATGTATACAATTTTTTTATATATAAGTAAGATTATGATTTTTCAATTTCCTTTTAATCACACAGATAAATAAATATCCTACAAAACCATATGATTGTAACCTTGCAATCAATATCCATTCGAATGAATTACGTTCAATTCTAAAAATTTATATGTATGATAAACATGATAAGTATCAAAAATTTTATTATATTTCATTTTTAAATGCATAATTTTCATGTCATTCTCGACATATCCTAATCAATTTTAGCTATATTTTTATGTATCAAAAGTTGTATTTCTCAAGATCTTCACTTAACGTTGTTGCAGATCTTTCCAAAAATCTTGAATTTCATAACTGTGAATACATCTCAAGTACAAAACATTTCAAATTTAACTTGTACATTTTGTAATTCATGTCTTCTCATGAATCATGTGTAAACACAATCATAAATATGTCAAAAATTATAAATAAATAAAAAATTTGAATAAAGTAAATTACATGAATCAGTAGATTAAAAAATATAGTGATCTCATCATTTTAGGGTAATTATTTATAATATAATAATAAATTTTACAATGTAATCTTTATAATCATTGTAATTTTTTTTTTACATCACTAAAATATTTGATCATCCATGCAAATCTTGCAACAACATTCGTTGTTATGATTACATACCTTTGCATGCACATTATATTATACAGTTCTTCATTCATGTTTTCCAAATACCTATAATAATATTTTTTTATAATAATAATAATAACTGACATAATATACTGTAACTTGTAATAACTATGCATGATAATCTAAATTTTGTGATTCTTATAAAAAATATATAATGAATTTTGATCTCTAAGTTTCAAATTATACTAAAACTAAAATTTTAATTACGCAATTTTAAATTAACTATCTCATTTGAACTAAAGTGAACAATTGGCATGCACACATCATATATTCTTATATCGAAAAAATCAGTCTAAGTTTTAATGTTTTATATCTTTCAACAATATTGTTCCACGTGGATATTACGAAAATCAGACTTGTTATATACACATGTTTTACATCGCTGGATAGTTTCTAGATTATTATGTACCACAAATCGAGATGTCTTACTTTGATTATTTAATATAATCTAATGCTATTGTTCTGAATTGAGATCATATGAAATTATGACACAAATGTCATTAAATTTATTATTTTATCTTACCTTATTTACTTAATTATATAATTAACTATATAAAATTTCTAGTATGTCATAGAATCGTGTGTGCGTTTTAACACCCAATTTAATTTTAAGTATTCTTGATTATTTTAATTCTTATAAGAGATTATTCTCTTGATCATCTTCATAAACTTTTACAGTTGAAACTCTGTACACATAAAATATATTATATATTTACAACAACCAACATACACAATGTATTTTGATTTAAAATTTTATAACTTTTTGTACAAATTTTTTTTATCAATTGTGATGTATTATTTTTGAATAAGATTGATAATTATTATACTTTTACAACGAATTTTCAGTGCCTTTGAAGGCTGTGGGACGCAGAATCTAGTTCGTAATACAACAGAATCCTTGTGTGCTTGTGAATTTTTTGAGATTAAATGGATTAATGACGTGTTTTCATTGATTTATTTTATATTTTTATTTAAGTATAATGAATGATAGATTTTAGGTAGGTGATGATTATTTAGTATTCTTGAAAAGCAAACTTTCATAAAAAGAAACTAAGGGGAAAAAAACGATGGAGTATTTTTATATTACACAGTTTACAAACTGTGTAATATAAAAACAAATTGATTGAAAGTAAGGGTTTGATGAATAATTAGTTCACATGATTTATAATATTTATAGTGAGAGGCTAGTTATCTCTTAGTTTAGACAAGTTATCACTCATCCTAATACACCCTTGAAGCTCTAGCCTATACTACATGTCAGCATCGATCCGTGACTAATCGTGCAGGCTTGTTTGTGATTCAGATACGGTGAGGACCGACCCAAGTACTTCGGCCCATTTTCTGGTGCCACTCCATCGTACTTGACTGGTGAGTTTCTCGGTGACTAGGATTGGGACAACGCTGGACTCTCTGCCTACCCGAGACCTTTGCCAAGAATCGGGAGTTGAATTTGGAGGTGATCCACGCCCTATGGGCCATGTTGGGAGTTCTGGGATGTGTGACCCTCTAGCTACTGGCCAAGAATGGAATGAAGTTCGGCAAGGCAGTCTGGTTCATCGCTGATCTTCTATGAGGGAGGTCTGGACTAACTCGACAACTCTGGCCTTGTCCATGCGCATAGCATGAGCACGAGCTTCCAGGTCGTGCTCATGGGAGCCATCGAAGGATACAAAGTGGCAGGAGTACCCCTGGAAGAGGTGAGCGCCCCTATCTACCCCGAAGGTCAACTTGATCCTCTGAACTTGGCTTAGAACCCCTTCACCTTTGTCGAGGTGAAGGTGCCGAAGAACTTAAGGCTGACGATGTTCTTTATGTTCGGATTCTTTGTTCAGGCTATTATCACCCGCAAGATCCATCGAGAACTTGTCCTACCACTTGGCGAATTATCCTTGTTGAGACAAGATGGGGAATTTGTAGAGTTGGGTGGTACTAACTCTGTTACATGAGCGTTGTTGGGATATGTTTGTGAGTCACTCCAATGCATTCTAGAGAATCGGTACATTTCACATAATCCACAGCAGACCATAGAACTGATACATTGGACAGTCCATAGCAGATCATCATGGCAGATGTTGAGACAAGATGAATGTCTGTCTCTATCCATCAGTTTACTTTAGGTTATGTTAGATAACGTAAAAGTTAGTCATTCTCCCATATAAATATGTGACTGTGACACGATACTAGATAATCTTTTTTATTATCTTGATATTTTCGTTTTTTTTCCTTCTATTCCTAAATCCTAGGGATCACCAGTGAATAAAAAATCTACAACCATCATGAACGTATATCTTACCATCAACTAATGCGATCAAATGTATGAATATAGCATGAGCAATAAGAACACATTGTCTGAAATATACGCTCGGAGTGATTACTTTGCAATTATATTGAGATCGGTTCCGTTGTTCCATGTTTTCCACTTGAGAATTGACAAATTACATTCACGTTGAACCGTAACTTGTACTTGAAGATCTTGTGTGCTGCCACAAAGTTCCCTCTAAATCTAGGAAGATGTGTAATCATATGTACATTATCGTTAAAAAAATATGTACAGTCTAGAATAATAGAATTACAAGTAGCAGGCAACTTAAGGCTTCTGATCAACGGATGGTTTCATACTGAGACATACCAGCCGACGATAGATTCTTAGTCCAAACAGGATAGGCGGGAACTAATCGAAGGTCTCTGACTATTCCATCCCACTGCCATGATCTACTTCTTAAATGCCTGTTCGCTTCGCAGCCGTAAGAGAAGTGGTTCTTCTCCAACTTATCGAATCGTGTATGCGATAGACTGGCGAAGGTTAATACAATCTGAGGCCTTTATTTCCCGTCAGGTACTACTACTTGGACTCCTGCTGCTGAACCAAAATTATTGTGAGTGCTGTGTATGTCTTATTCACTCGTCAGCTGTATGTTGATTCTAAACACACAAAGACGTAAACAGGAGCAGTGTTGTGACATTCTGTACCACTGAAGACTTCCTCCATCGACTGTGCTTCAAGGGAGTCGCTCAGACAGCTCTAGGATTCCTGGCTGTTGAGCGATTCAGAGACTACAAATCTCTCTTCAAGCGCCAATTATCCCCAACTCCCAACGGAACTTGAATAATATCTGGTTTTGACGAAGGCTTCCTCGATAAATTGTGACTTAAATAACTGTCAGGATCTTCCTCCTCGCAGAGGAACCATGAAACAGCCACTTTAGTTAACTCGCTGGCAGAGGCGAAGAATGTGTGATGAAGATGCTCTTCGATCAAAACCTCGTCTATTCTTACCACCATGCACTTATTCCCTCCCTCTCATTTCGACGACTGTAGCGTCTCGGGCGAGAAACGGTGCAGAAGCCATAGACTCCACGTCACAGGTACAGAGCATTAGCAAATCCTGCAGCCTGACGATGAGCTCGCGGAGCCCCCGTCAAGACAACTTGGCAACAAAATATGTCCACAGAGGGAAGATTATACATTGGTGGGCTTTTGACGATCTAATGCACCAGAATAGAACCGCACGATCTGCTTCAAAACCCACAGATAGTCAGTCGGCTGCTGCAATGTTTCAAGTCCGTGCTCCACAAGCTGCTCATGAACCCACAAGTTCTCTCTATCATACTCCAGCAGTCTTTCCAGCACCTCAACATTATGGCTGTAGTCAGGGTGTCCACAGAAGGTCAGAAAATGCGACGGCCTGTAAACCGACTGATGCTGCGTGACGTTATTGGAAGCCAGAGGCCAGAACTTATCAGGCAGGCGTAATATTGCATCATTGTGGTGGTAATGCAGACGGAAATCTTGGCGTTCAGTGCCGAACAATTGCTGTGCAGCTTTTGTTAAGGTCGCTGTTCGGACAGATACTTCGGATCCCTTAGGGTTTTTGCCCACTTGTCCACCTAGAGCTTGAACGATGGCCTGATGACCGAAACTGATCCCGCAAGTCTTCACTTTCATCCGATCCAGAATTTCTATCTCTTGCAGCAATCGAGAGATCCATGGCTCCTTATCATACACGCCACTCAATGAACCAGAAATTAGCACCCCGGCAAACTGCTGCACATCTGCCGGGTACTGCTCTGCCTTCACATCGAAGGCTTTCAGCTCAATGGATGGGAGCGATGAAGACTCCGAGGACGTGGAAAAATGATCGAAAGCGCGTTGAAGCAGGGTCGCATACCCGCCCGTGCGCTTGAACACTGACGGTGCCAAATGCTCCTCGAGCCTCTCGCACTCGAAAAGCGCAACCCTCAGCCTGGATGCCATGGCAAACGCCCCAAACCCTCCGCACACCTTCCGCACCAGGACTCTCCTCGAATATCTCAACCAGCACGGCGAATTCAGTGGCTCTCCCGCCCTCACGGACTGATTCCTCCGACAGATTGCCTGCCGCGAATCTCTAACCAAAACGGGCCACTACCTCTTCGACATCCCGCATTTCAGCACTTCTAACTTGGGCCCTAACCTGCAGCGATGGCATTCTCTGCACCAAAAGCTCGTGAAGGCACAATTCCTCGGCTGCTCGGCAGAGCATCCGACGACCAGACACTCGACGGATTCCGAGGAAATAAAAAAACACAGCACTCCGAGCATTCTGGAGCAGCTCATGCATCGTCCAGAGTACGACCCATGGTCCAGAGTCCGAGGAGCAATGGGGCCTCGGCCGTCGCAAATGGTTGGCCACTCGGAGGCCAAGTGGCGGGGTTGCGGCTCGTTTGTCGCTTTGTCTGAGTCTCCTGGCTCGTTGGCCTCGAGGCGATGGTCGTGGCGGCCGAGAGGATTTCAGTGGCTGGAAAGTCCACACATCCGCTCGCTTGGTGCTCAATTCTTGTTCGTGTGAAAGAAATGCCTGCGACGAGTCGTTGCGCTTCGCGTCGCATTCGTCGGCTTCTCTGGGCTTCCGGAATTCGGGATCGTTTGCATGGAAAGTAGCGGAAGAGAAGGCGGTGGGATTTGCGGGTGCTGTCGTCGTGAGGTACGTCGGACGGTGAATGGAGTGTCGTCGCGAGTCCTCGTCTGCATTGTCCGTTGCGATTGATAGCTTCGCATTCTCGGCCGCAGTGGGAGCTGCTTGTTTCGCCTGTTTGAGGTCGGCCTCCTCATCGAAGATTGGATTGTGAATGTGTTGGATGGTGTGCTAGATTGTGTCGATTCGGAGAAAGGAGAGAAAGGTGAGGACAAGTTTGTAATTCGCGACAAGTAAGTAATTCTTTCTGCCCGTGGTCCAGTCGGTGCCTTACATTCGGTTGGGGCTCTCTCGATTAATTCGGGATGCGATATTTGAGAGCGATGGTGAATGCAAAGAAGTTAACTCTTGAAGATGGAATCCTCCACTTCCTCTGGAGTGAATGCGATCACAGCCCGATGTTGATATGGATGGTCCCGCATGATCTCATCGGAATTGACCATATGCTATATGCCTTCGATCCCGAAAGATTGGGGGAGGCGTTCTCTTACAACTTTTGGAGAATCTGGAAGCATGGGAACTCGGTTTCTGGAAACAACATGAATTTACAGGTGCCCCGGAGTGAGTTGCCTTTGCATCAATTCTAAATGTCCTTCTTTCTTTTGACACAGACATAAAATCTCAGAAGCCGCCCAAGTGAAGGTGGGAGGGAGATCATGGCCTCTGTCTCAGGGGCTTTGCGCCCATGCTTGCTGCCTGGTAGTACACTCCGTTCAATTCCTCGCTGTTACGCCGGAAGAAACAAGTTTACTGTGGGAGCATTGTGGGATCAAGTGTCTGGGCGATCAGGTGTCGTGAAAGGTGCCAACTGGAACCCAGATCTCACCGGCGGTGCAGCGTCTCCTTTTGCAAACAACAGGACTGAAAGGGTCTTGTTCTACGGAGCCGCTGAGATTCAGAAGGAACTCTCGAGTGGAAGCCATTGCTTGAAGTGTAAGTTTCATGCAGCGAACTGAATGCTACTGATATGACTTCTCGGTCTACATTCCACTCTGTAGATTCTGTTCTTCTAGATCACAATGCGGACGTGTATCATCATAGTTTCGGACTTGTGTCCTACGTATTGATTCTCTGTTTCCTCCTAGTTTGTTAACTGAGTTCCATCGTTCATAGTATGATACATGGGCAAAGTGCGAAGACATTTATGTTTGATTGAATGGACTCCATCCATGGTTATCCATCTTCAGATTATCCATAACTGAGTCAACATCGTCGAGTTCTTTTTGCTGGATAGTATGGACAAATCTTCTGTTTTGACAAACTGTTCGTTCTCGTTTATTCCTGGGTCTGCTCCAGTTTGACATGTTTGTGACAGATCCGAAGGTTCTAATGTTTGGCCTACATGCGAGGTTTAAGTCGATACTTTGTCAATAGTTGTTGACTTTACGGAGCTAGGATATGTTCCTTATTGGAGAGCTTACAACATTTCAGCAAATTGGAAATCCTCTGTTTTGTTCGATACTTGCAGCACAAACTGCAGACCTTTGAAAGCCTCGATAGGTTCTCAAGGGTTTGCTTTAATTGTTGTGCAGCCTTTTGTACGAAAGCAGTGGGGGGACCCACGTCATCAGCTACCCAGGCAGGCGCTGAGTCAAGGACGTCAATTGAACAGGAGAGCAATTTAGAAGATCCCGATTCGCCTTCTACATGGACGATCAAAATGCTATATGATGGAGATTGCCCTTTGTGTATGAGAGAAGTAATACGCGCGGGGACTCTTTCCTTCTACGTACTTCAATTTAAATGCCTACATCTTGCTTTCAGATCCTCACCAGAGGTGACTGATATATCTCTCACTCTCTCTCTAACAGGTTGATATGTTGCGAGGAAGAAACAAGACGTATGGAACCATCAAGTTCGTAGATATTAGTTCAGACTCCTACTCTCCAGAAGAGAACTCTGATATCGACTTTGAGGAGGTTAGTCCAAAGAGCAGGATTTACTTTTATAAACTAATATATCATAGGTTGGACTGAAAAATGGCTAACCACATCCTCCCACCTTCGATTTTTATGTGCTCATCATAAATTACATCAGATAAATTGTGGGAGCTCGGATTGCTGTATTACCTCGAAATTCTTTTCTCATGATCTGACCAGCAATATAGTGACTGCTCCGGAATGTGCCATTCTAGGCAATGGGACGTATTCATGCTATTCTTCGCGATGGGACCATCCTCACGAATGTTGCTGTAAGTTCAATTTGATCATATCCCTCAATGCTAGCAGAAATGTTCTTTGATGGTCAACGACATACCTTCGTGTTTTTGGTTTGAACAATATCTGAAGTCAACGTCTGGCTAGAGTTGCATTACGTATTTCGGTAGTGGTGTATTGATGGCTTATTTGTTAGAACAGGCATTCAAGCGACTCTATGAAGAAGTGGGCCTTGGATGGGTGTATGCAGTCACCAACTTTGAGCCTGTAAGTGTGCCGCCACCTTTGATATTTTCAGAGCTTTTTTTCCATAAGTTGATGGATTCTAGTGTGCATAGAACTTGTGTTGGCGCTGAAAATGGTATGTGGATTCCGATATACTATCACAGGTTGGCAAACTTGCCGATTCAGTGTATTCTTTCTGGGCGAAGTATCGGTTGCCATTGACAGGTTTTTATCCAACCTTTCGTATCTTAAATTGTTTTCCTCGACTAGAATGTCTTCCTATACGTTGCGTTTTTGCAGTGTCACTCTTGAACTTGTTGTACAATTCTAACTTTAATGTGTATCGTCAGGACGACCACCTCTTATCGAGGTGCTGGAAACTCGAAGACAGAAACAGGTCAGTAACGATGTAATAGCGCCATAGATTCACATGAGAACACGCCTCATCGCATGTGCTAGTGGGACTTTGCTTATGAATATTGTTTCACTCGGATTTGGATTTAGCTTCTCATGCTGAAAGAATGAGTCATTTCTAATTCTCTATCTGCACTTTCAATTTGTAGGCGGAGTCCTGCGACATCGGTGGTTGCCGCACAGACTGATACATTTTATGAGCTTCAAGGTGTTCCATCTGATGCTCAATGTCCAACTGTACAACATATCACTAAATGTCTGGAAGATGGTATCTCTTATTCATTTATGTGGAAGTCTTCTTAAAAATTCTATTACTTGAGAATTATGAGAAATTCTATACATTACATGAGAATTGTGCCACACGTTTCTTACTTCCGAGATCACCTAGAGGCTATCGCCCAATTATTTTTCCACGATTTTCAGTAGAGATGGGCATATGATAAACGACCATATTTAGAGGAGAGGAATTATTGCCTTTCAATTGGGATCCTGGTTCTGTGAAGATATCCACAAGCTGATTCACGACCTTTCATGTATCAATCACTATCTGCATGAACAATCCATTTCAATCTTTTTCATACCCCTATCGTTTAAAAGAATACTCTTATTTTAGGCATCCGGCACTAGACACCACTGGAGTGCATAACAGGGAACAGCTTTCATCTCATCTCATTGTACATCTCTCGGATGAAAAACATGACAATCTAGTTGATGTGCTTGTACATGATTGTGGAGTTTGAGGGTGCCTACTTTCTCCAACTCTATGCCGTTCTTTCTCGCATAGGCTGTCCCATCTCAGTTATATTCCCGTTCAAATTCGAGGACCCGGAACAGAACCGTGGTCGCTAGAGTCTTCCTCTTCTTGCATGCAAATCACCTGTCGCTCAGCTGGAATACAAAATCACAATTGACGATCATGAACACAACAGGATTGTTGAAAGAAAACATATCAAAATACACTTAGTATACATGAATTGCTATTCAATCCAACCCCGTACAGTTTGCGACCATGCATCTCGGATCTCAAGACAATGTCTTCAATGTTATGATTTACGACCAGTAGGTATAACATACCCTAAAGATCATCTTGACCATGTGCACCACTTCCGGAGGTATATCTGCTCGAGAGTAATGACTATGTGCTTCTAGAGGAAAATGAGTTTGAAGAAAGGAGGCGAAATATTTTGGTGTGGAGGATTTGTTATCTCCTATACCGAGCATGTCGGTAAGATGGAGTAGGAAATCAGATCTCCAAGTCTAGCTACCACCACCTTTTTGGCTATCTGAAGGCAATATTAGGAAGTACGTATGGGACATCATGACATGTTCGACGTTTGACGAAATCCCTGGAGTCATGAAGTGCGTCGGGACCCTTGCATGGAGACCGAATGTCCTGGACGATTGTGAAGGCATGTCTTCTTGAGACTGCACTTACTTCAAGGCTGTGCTCACTTACAGTGGTTGATGCATAGTCCTATCGTACATATCTCGTGTTTCATGAAAGCAGTAGTGTAGCTTTAAATTATCACGTGATACTTTATTGTCATTTCAAGAGTCTCATTTAAATCGGCTCTGCTCCAGCTGACTCACCATGGGACTGGTATATTCTCGCTCATGCCAGCTATCCGTAGATTCTCAATGACACGAACAAAACTACGAACAAGTATACTACTTGACATCTCTGATGAATTCGTACGAGAAATCCTATTTTCCAGGTTACTTCCATGGAGACCTAAATAAGTAAATAATTAAGCAATGGTAAACAGCAGCTTGAATTTAGAATTTAACTTTAAACTTTGTGTATCTTTTAGCATGCATACCTTGTTTCTTCCTAACACTTCCTCGATATAAAGAAAATCAATTGGCCTCCTCTTACGGTAGCCAGAAAGAAAAATGCCTCTTTCGGTTCCTCTCCAGCCCTTCCAGTTTCGCATGTTGTAGAAAGGGGGCCAAGTGGATAGCTTTCCATGAAATGGATTCGGGTTCCCATGTTGAGAAAAAATGGACAATCAAATGGGATGCCTTTTCAGAATTGATACTCAGTAAGGTATATAATAACGGCAGTATATCCCGTGTTGGGATCTACTTTGACTCAGAGACCTCGGAGCGTTATGCACTATACTCATCGCCCAGTTCTGGGGAGGTACAAAAGCCTTGCAGACGTGCTTTCATTGAGGCCAGTGCCACCAATGGGCTGACTTGACCACCGCTGGAGCTGTCTTGCCGGTATGGGAGTCAAGACCCCAATCAGTATGCTGCCTTAAAGTCTACTGCTGTACGTTTGCCACAGGTCGATCGACCATAGAAAGCACTCTGCTCTGTCTACTGGTCCATTGATAACTGAGACCATTGTCCCCAGCTTTGGGCAGAGTTACAGCGTTCCAGAGCCCCTTAACACGCGTGCAGACGAATACTTAATATGCGTGCAGACGAACAAGTCAGGGCCGCCGCTGCTTCCAGCATGGTGCGCGCTGGTGAACCCCCACCACGACATTGTCCCCTGACCGATGGACATTTCCCACCATCGACTTTGACCTTGGTGTAGTCAGGAAGAATGCTCCTTGGTATTCAATTGTAGACATTCGGACTGAAGTGAATTTTAGAGTATATGATTTTGGGCACATCACTTCTTATAAGAATAGTCTTCTCTACGCATGTCCTAAAGAGTTTCAGGATAGGGAAGTCAGTTGATCCAGCTTCTGTCTTCACCCTCCGTTCATGCAGATCGGGACGTTAATGTTATTCATTCACAGCTTCTGCTGGTATTGGTGTTGTATGATCAGTTCTCCTAGTTGCTTTGCTATCAATTAAATACAAGCGTGTCAATGTAGGATTTAGGATTGGAGCGGCTAGTTCTCCTTCACTCTACTATACGCTGTTCTCTTATTGGTCGACGCAGGGTAGTCAGCTCTCTTATTGCTCGATGCAGGGCAGTAGTAGCTACAGGGTAGTAAGGATGCAGTAGCAACTTACGGTGTTCGACCAATCAGATAAAACCGTACAGTATAGTAGGGTGAGGGCTGATTAGCCCTAAGTGAGGGATAACTAGCCCCACCCTTAACGAATTAATACAACCTCGTATTACCACGCCGTTACTTTATTCGGCACATCGATCAGCCCACAAGGCTGTCCAGCGTTTTCGCATCGCAAGTGATGTACGGCCACGATTTAATATCAGAAGCGCTAATTCAACTCCTACTAAATGCACCTCGCTCTCGAGTTCTTGCGCTTGAAGAGTAAATGTACCTTGGAAACTCATGAACTACTCCAATTCAGGGTTTATGAAAGTGCTCCATCGAGGAGACAGTCTGTAGCAATTAGTAGTAGTAGTTGCAAAGCTGCAAACACAACGCGAGCGTCTCCATTGTGCGCACGACTACAGGTGAATACGAACAAGGAATCATTATTGATCCTGGAAGAGCGAGACCGATCCAAGCTGTCAAATTCGGTTCGCTTCTCGGAGAAACTCATGTCGGAGACTACGAGGTTATTACTTTGGGCAGATGCCAGAAAGCGAGTAATTTGAGAAAACAGAGACAGCTCTCGGGGAAAAAGCAGCAACATTGGAACATCCAAAACTGGTGACCACAATAGCCTGCCTGGTCAGCAAGAAGACCGAAGACAGGTAGAGCACGAGAGCCAGCCAGCAGATGAAAACTCGAAGTGAAATCACTTTCATTGTCGAAATGATATTACAAGTCCCATAACTTGAGGGTCGTGTTCAAGGTGGCTAGCTTGTTGACGAGAAATGTAGAATGTAAAAGTACTCCAGGAGACGGATACGAAGACAACAAAATGACGAAAATAAGACGCTACAAACTCTCAGAAATGTTAGAGAGACTTAGTCATTCATCGATGCGCTCTCCAGACGCTTTCTTGCAAGCGGAGACCAAGTCAGCGAGCCTGTTACGGAACATGAGCTGGTCGGTCAGGCTCAGGAGATTGAGGTAGCAAGATCACAGAGCAAAGCGAAGCCTGCTACCTGAAACTCCTTGAACCTATACGTAAATTACAAAGTGGAAATGCGAACAACTTCTGTCAGTACTAGTATAATACTAATTTTATCAGCGATTATGTAACTGTGCTGGTGATGGTCGTGAGCGCGAATCCACGGCCCTAGCTCAGTTACTGGTTGCTGGTGTAGTAGCCATCCTTTCTGGTGGTGCGGCTCGGACGCTCATGGATAAATAGTTGCTTAGCCGACAAAACTGCGAGGAAGACAAGGGTCAAAATTGCGACGAAGCATACGATCACTGAAGCTCCGACTTGGCTGCAGAAACGACCGAAGTTGTTGCATTGTTTCGGCCACGCGACGTCTGATTCACCCTTCTCGGCAATGTAAGCTACCTCCGTGGCTGCTCCGGTCACTCCAATCAACACATACACGATAAACTGCACCACATTGTCCACAATCCGAGGAAACCAAGTCACAAAACGTCGCCACTGAGGGCATACAAGCACACGCGTGATAATAAGACTCTGAAAACTGGTTCTGTCGACAAGACCACGACTCGGATGGGTCCAATGAAGCCTGACTCTGTCAAGTGTCCTACACGCTGCTATACGCCAGCCTTAAGTGTTCGACTTGCACCAAAGGACGGGCCTCTGATGCGTGTGGCATCAAGGGCAGGTTGAAATGTGGGAGAGCAAAATACGAGACATGGAGGCATGTCATTGCTTGACTCTGACAAGAAGCTGCACTCTTGCCACAGCCAAGCAGTACATGACGAGACTTCTTTCCTCGTCTCCAGGAGGTTAACAAATAGCAGGAAGAAGGAGACGATGCAGTGCAGGAACCCGAGAGTTTAGGGACACAATACCTGATCCAAGAAGAACGTGGTCCACAGTCGAGCTTTGCTTGTAGAATAGCTGGACTTCGCGACGATGGTCCAAAGTGCCTGAAGAAGGCTGTACCCGGCAATTACACCATTTGTGTACACGAACACTCTGCACAGGGGAAAATCCCCAGACCAGCTCAAATGTCAGCCGCAAGCTCAAAGATGGAAAGGAAGTTCGAGCCTGTCTAAAACTCGCAGAATATGACAGGAAATCTGAATATCTGAGGCACAAGACAGTGATGTGATTCTGATACTGGAGCTGGAGGTGTGGAGAGCCTACTTAAGAGCCAAAACGTTGGTATATTCGGCGGTCTTGACGATCGTCGTGGATGCAAAATTGAAGTAGTGTGTCTGTTTGTCTGTCACCATGGTCACGAGCGCGGTGACGCAAAGTGCCATAGCCGTGAGCCGCATCAAAATGCTTGCGGTTCTCATCCTCCTCATTCCGGAGTCATTTCCAGCATGGGACACCGGAACCGTCCCAGGAGTGCCTATGTACCCGTTCGTCGCCTCTCCCATCTCTGTATCTTGTTTCATGATCTCTTCTCTGCTGCTGCTGCTGCTGATACGGCTGATATTTTCTCCAGAGCTCAGGAAAAAACGGCCTGAACCTCCTTACGCTCACACGAGAACCTGCAGTACCAGCTCGGCTCGGAATTCACGAGTGGATGACTTCCGCGTCCTCTTCTCTCGCTCCCGCCCCACTGTGAACTTTCAAGCGCCCCGTCACGAGATTGTCTCGATCGCGCTTACATGCAGCAGCGGGTCAGCTTCGGGTCTCAGGCTGCAAGAAGGTTGAAACTGCGGCGCCAGGACAGCCAGTCCTCATATACATACAGTACAGGGCATGCATGCATGCATGCATGTCGAGGATTGGATGGGCAGGCGATGGGGTGATTGAATGAATGAACAAACAATCCTCTCACTCGAAAGCCCTGGCGTCCAGACAGCTGATCCTCATAAATGCTGCACTAGGCCCAACTCAGCCTGGGCGGTACTACTTAGGTACGACGACGGCACATCTAATCAACACGCTCAGAGGCCCAGTATTCTCATTAGACTCGCATTATATGAACACACTTTGTCCACCAGTTGTCTTCCAGCTGAGAACACGGACTTCATTCCTTCCGCCTCTCATGCGCTGTGCCACCCCAAGTCTTACACTCTCGTGTTATCTGACCAACAACTCGGCCTTCCCGTACGTCTTTCTCAGCTGTTCTTGGCCGGTGAACACACCTCGCGAGTGCAACAGATGTTCGCGCATGAAGATATGACAACTCTGTAGTTCTATATATGGCGGTTGACTCTATAAGCTGACCTTCGTTTCGTCTCGTTATGTCGTCTTCAAAGGTTCATAGTTTTCAATCTTTCATGTGGAGACGAGGAGAGTTCAGACTCTTCTTCTGAACCTACTTGTGCATCAACCACCTCAACGTACATTCCATACTCCCATCCGTCTTACCATACTACTGAGCACGTGCACCCCTGGGACCTGGTTGTGCTAAGTTATAATAGCAAGTGTTTGTAGCCGTGGCAAGGATTAAGTTCTGGGTACAATCTGCCTCGGAAAATCTCGGCGAAGCTTTGGCTGTGGGAGTCCGAGGCAAGGTTGGAAAGAGAGTCGTCTTGGTGATGGAAAGACCTATAATCTGTCATTGCATGGGAATGCTCCGTCGTTCTACTTGTTCGAAGTACTGCTTTTTTTCTCGACGCATGCATGCATGCGGATTTATCCATAAAAGGTTCGGCGATAATCCCCTTTCTCTCGGTCGTTGACCAGAAGAGGCTTGCTCGCATGGGATATCGTTTTTCCATCTGGGCCTTTCAGTGGCCCTCCTTGGACGTATCTGGAGACATTTGATCCCGGGTTCTTTTCAACTTTCCAATTTGACCGAACTAGCAAAAAAGTCGTATTTTCGACACATTTCGTTTGGAAGAAGCAGTGAGCCAAAATCATTGGACGAAAGTCGTTCTACTCGAAGCTATATCAAACACATCAATCTCCAAAGTGTATAATTCTAGAGGCCGCATGCAATAAACACAAAACATAAGCTGGGACAAAGCAGTCAGAGTTACGCGGTGTCGGAAATCAGGTTCGACGAGTCATATTCTTACATTTTCCCCTCTTGCAATGCAATTTTACAGTGCTGTCATTAATTAAAAAGCAGGGATCAATTTTCGCATTTACTTAAAAGTGGGTGACTTTGGACCAGAAAATTGGACTCATCCTGTGCCTGCAGATTCCTCGAGCTCTCAGGCCGACAGTTCAACACTGCAAAAAGCTTTCACAACTGCCCATTGACACTCTTTCTCGAAGCCAAAAACCTCGAACTTAACTTGCTCTCTTCATTAATGACAGCAAGTGCTTCTTCGTGCAAAAGACTCTACTTGCTTGTAAAGCTGCACCGTGAAGCACCAACAATGAAGGAGGACCTGTTGCAAAAGTATGAAATCATGTTGAGCAGCCACAATAAATACGATGTCGACAAATATTTTCAAGGTGAATATTTCGTCATCCAAAGACGTCCACCCTATGATGTAGAATCTAAGTTTTCACTAAAAGATTCATCCTCTACAATCTACACTTCTAATATTTCGTATAAGCATAGATCTTCTTTGCGGAGAGTTCCTGGATCGCATTCAAGATGGATGCTCCATCTTGAACGCGTGATTAATGCGAAATCGTTGAAAAAAATTGGAGTGTGAAATGATATTTAGCTAAGTTAGTAGAGCTGTTAAAATCGTAAGCGAAAATTCTTAAAATTCTCACCGAATGCAGTTTTGTGTCATAGAATAAAAGTAACTGGACGTGCAAAACATCTAATTCAAAGCTTACTTGAGCTAAATGATCAGTTCATCGTGAACTTGATGGTGCAAGATCGTGGTACAATGGATCAAATGAGAGCCAAATTCTTCGAAAATTGTGGCTAAGAAGTAAAAAATATACATCTCGCTACAAGAAAGGGCACGCCGTAAAAAACGGTAGTAAAAAGAATCCGCAAGAAAAGGTGGCAAGTAATTCATGTAATGGTGACCTACCATCGAACGAAGTCAAAATCTTGTTGAAACATGGATGAATGACTTGGGATCTACACGACGTATGATGTTTCTAAGAGGATGGTTTGCTTAATTTATATCCATGTCTGTAGAATATGTGTACATAATAAATAAAAAATACCTTGAAAATTGTTGGGATTGGAAACATCTAGCTAAAGATGTATTATGATACTATGCACACCATAAAGAAGTTACGACTTGTGAAGGCTTGATAACCCTAACGTCTTTGAGACAACATATGATATGTAAAACTCACAGATAGAATGGGATCATGAAAATTGAAAAGTCTCACTTCTGAAAATGTAGGCGGAAATAAATGCTGTGAATGTACACCTTCTTTGGGGAAAAACACACAAGGTGGCACAGTGTGAGGTTAAATAGACAGCTTGGGATAAGAATCAATAAGAATGTGGCGTCAGAATCTCGGACTTTAAAGTCTGAATGAAGCTTGATATTTTCACTGGATCAAATCTATGTGTTCTTGGATACGACTGTTGAGAATTTTAGATCACACTTGAGTAAGAATGAGTTAGAAGAAAGGATATAAGCTAATTTTTTTGTTCCGCATACTGTGTAGAATCGAGCAAAAGCCAGTAAAACATAAATGGGAAAAAAATCCTGTTTAAAAGGTCCAGCGTTTATGATTCCTGTGGACATGAGTCATCGAGAATTGACCTCTACGTTTACCGCTTGACTCTTGTCCGATCATGGACCTTTGGAACTCTCTGCAAAAAGGCATTAGCAAGTGGGCCAGCAGCTGTGCAGAGGGGAGGGTTTTTGGACGGCAAAGCCTTGAATTTTGCCTGTCGGATTGCATCCGCATGGGTTCTGTGGAGAATGCCACATAATAGTATTTATGCCATATTCATACAGCGGATATTCCCACTCCAGCACTTTTTTTATGTCTGTCATGTGTGACTGAAGTTGCCAAATATCGATATCAACGCGTGCGCTTTTGCTTTTGGACGTTCGAACCCTCCAACAGGATACTCCTCCGGGTTACTCGATGGAAGGTTGTTAAAAAGAGAAATTCCATCTTCCTCTCGTCCTGACGAAAAGCAAGGTGTAACTTTTGGATCGAGTCACGCTCTGCAGTTTAGGTGAGCTCCACTACGCTCACTAGGAACACACTCCATGTCCACGTTTCCTGAAACCCGGGAACTGGATCATGCGTATACTCTGTATTCATGGAAATTTACTGGCTCCAGCTTGAGTGATCATATGTCTCGGATTGGAGACCGCAGAGTGTGTATCTTTTCAGTCCTACGAAGGTATTTTCAATTTACTGCACACGTTCACGTAGAGAGAACTGGAAGAATATACAAGAGTGATGTAATCGTGCAACTTAAAAATTCAGGATTAAAAAAGTTATCATGAGAACATAAGATGCACGTTAACATTTTTTTTTAGAACAAAACGTGATGGAGAAAAACGAGTATTTAAATTTCAGAAGTCAAAAATGAGAAATCTTGAGATAACATTTCGAGAATTACATTTGATAAATGCATAGGTGAGCCCAGGATCCTTAACAGCAAATTGGAAATGCATAGAATACAACATACCTGACTCCGACATCAACTGACATTCAAGCGAGTACTTGATATCCGGAATACATATTTTCTTTGATATATTTTATATAGAGGACGCTGTCATAGTCAATTGAGCCTTACAAGACCACGTATAATATGTGCGACGCGACCGTAAAGCAATCTCAACTTTATGTCAAGCATTTCAAATATATATATATATATATATATATATATATGATATATACACACATTTGCTAATATGGCCACTATGAAAATGAAAGTAATTAAACTCTTCGTATGAAGCCTTTCAATATACGGAGAACATATATACTCATGATAAGAAAAAAATCAATTTTCACACTTCCGTTTGATGATTTTCATTTCAGTATCATCAGAAACATGTAAAGAAAATTTGAGATCTCAAATATATGTATATATTTCCAAATTAATGTACATGAATATTAGATAAATATCAAATATAATAAATTGAGTAACGTGCTAGTTATTACTCACTTAACGTTAGTTAGACCTCACCCTATGTATGTTACTGCATCGACCAATAAGAGAATTGGTCGATGAATTGCGTATACTTAATTGAACAAAACAATACGAATATTGAGGTTTATTAATTAGGATCATGTTAATGAAAGAGAATGGTTACCTTAATATTGTTTTATCATGATTCATTATGTTTTTCCAAAATATCCACAAGAAATAATATCTTGCTGCAATGTACCATACAGATAAACTTGCTATACATACATACAAGTCTTGAAGAGACCATGTGTACGAGATGAAGGAAAGACATGCACACCTCGTACCTCAATGCTTCAAGAAGCATCAGAGCAGTTCATAATTGGTGGCAAGAGCATCGAAGGATTTGGGAAGGGTATGGTTGGTCGCGAAACTTACAAAATCAAGGGAGAGCAGATGCAGAAGATTATTCGAAAGAGGACGTAGACAGTACAATTGGATGCTAGACAAGTTTTGTACTTAGTAGAGTAAAGTAGAAGGGCAGTAACGAGGGGCAAAAGTAGCGGGGAGTGGGGTGTGGGGAGGATCAGAAGCCATAAATGACACCGCATCCAGCATTGAATAAGTAGCAGGTGTGTTATTATGGTGGTACGAAAGCTTATAACTCCAAACCTCTGTCGATGCAAGTGACATTGGGCTTCATGCCACACTTTTCACAATACTGTACTGTTACAGGGTCACCTGAGCTCTTCCTCTTTGCTTTACTATCTAATACCTGTCACTTTGCAGTATGGAATAATATCCACTGTTGTGCTGTTCAGGCCCAGCCCTTGATATCCATTCAACTCAATCTCTATATTGACGAGGTCTTCCGTCATGTCTGTTATGCTACTCGGTGCTCCAAGTATCTTCAATTTATCTTCTTCTTAATGGAGTAAGCGAACGATGTGGTCCGGGTGCTATATTGGGTTTAGACTTTTTTCTTTGGCAGCTGGTAGGAAAAGTACGTACGGCCGGGTAGCAGTGGATTTTCCGAGAATATCAAATGGCAATCGACTCTCTCCACAATTCCTTATGGGTTTTTGACGTGAAGTAGTATGATTGGAGGTACATGAGGTTGGAAAACAAGCATAGTGCTACATAATTTTCAAGATTAATTTTTTTCCTCGTCAGAGTCACGAGGGAGATGCATGTGTATGGGGGCAATCAATTGTTCGGTATCCGTTGTGGTCATCCGGGAAAGTCGGAACTAGAGGATTATAAAAGCGAGGTAGTTTATTTCTTTAGAAAATCATAGGTAAGTACACATGTCATTTATGCAGCTCATAAAATTGTTGTGGGTGGTGATACGTGCAATGTGCCTCACATGCAGTATGAGAGGCACATTGCATAGTAGTATGTGACATACTGCTTCCTACTTACGTCAGTTGGACTGGATATCAGGGTAAGAGCTTTGAACTCCCAAAGAACTCATAAGCTGGAAATTGCAAAAGATTCGTGCAATGTAGGAAGTTAGATATCCACTCTAGAAAAGCTGAAAATTAAAACTGTTCAGTCTCACTTCGACCCTGTTGAATGTAAATAAAGCCATCGAATGGAGTTGATTCTACACCAGTTATTCTTTCGCTAGAGTGTTTAGGAGAAGCACTCTGGCGAACAGGGATGATTCTCCAAAACACAGGGTGAAGACTTAGAAGTCTTCCATATAGATGATCTAGCTCTGCAGAGAATGGTGTATTTTGCCCTTTGCAGCAACATGGCGAAAGTGAAGTGAAGAGGTAAACAAAGAACTTTCCAGCACCAACGCGTCTGGCTGAAGAGAATTCTATCATATTCATCACACCAGCAGTTCACAATAGGTTGAAACGGAAATTTGAAAGAGATGTCAGCATTTCAGGCTACTACAAGTCAATTTACTGAGCATGATATAGTTACATGATTTTACGATATCAGGTGTGCTTTATACTGCTAGGAAATAATTGACGTTCGTAAAGATTCAAAAGACCAGATCTTTGCTCGTGTAAGTGGTGGTCTAGTCCTTGATTATAGCACTTACTTATGGGAGAGCTGCCCAATAGGATACAAAAATATTATTTCATACACTACTTGTGACGAACGCCAAGAGCATTTCGGATCCATCCTACCATGGTCTTGGTTATTTTGTTTGGGATTGGAGCGTTATTGTTTCTTGCATAGAGATGGAAAGTACACTGGAAGTGTTGTAGATGTTATCCGTGCAACACTGATATGAGCAAATGAAGAAATCTCTCATGAGCTGATATTTCTCCAGGAGATATGATCTACTGATGGAACTCTGTGCTTCTGAAGAGTTCGTCGGCTCAAGTCACTTTGTTGTCTTGAAGTATCTCTTACAGCATATACTGCACAAATCATATTTGCAGGTGGAGAATGCACATTACACAACTTGATTTCAGCAAAATAATTCCTTCAGAAACGGAAATTCCCAAGGAAACCTCACGACCATTTTGATTAAGCTTGCGCAAGATAATTGCCAAGTGGGGAGGCTCTGTATGGAGTTCTTGTCACAGGGAACCTGTTATCGAATCTCGACTACAAAGGGTATGATGGGTGAGATCTGATTGAGATTTGTACTTCAAATCTGGAGTACAAATGGGACTGACAACAGTGTGGACTAGGCATGCAATGAGTGGAATAGGTGACTTCCACTTCATTGCACTATGCGGTCAACTAGGGGAGACCTCTGGCAGAGGATGGAGTCGATAGGCTTAGTAGACACACTTGCCTCTCAAGTGTGTCAGAAGACTTGGAATCTTAGATATCGTTGCAATGCCCACCCAAGGCAGGTTCAAATTCAAACCAGAGGTTGAGAGAAAAAGACGAGTTCTCTGATCGGACAGTTCAGCATTTGCAACCAATTTTCGCATAATATCTAATACTATATATTAACGAGATTATCTATTTCCTTATCAAAATAAGAATATTGATTTTTTCAAGAGCACGCGAGCAGAATGGAAGGGCCGTCAGGTTACAGGCCCTTGGGCAAGCGTTATTGCTCAGCTAACCACAACGTGGTGAAGAAATGCATCCCAATTTTCGCATACATACAGCTGAGCACGTTTATAAAGTAGATTACCTGTATGTATGTGAGTACTTTACTGCCACACTGCTACATTTCTGTACAGCCTTCCTTGAAACTTTATGTCAGCTTCCCCATTCTAATCAGTAAAGTCACTCCCACCTCTTAGACTGTGTTGGCTGATAGCAGAGTTTAGTGCGAATGTCCTCCAACAGCAGCGATGTCTCCTGAGTCGCTTTCTCCTCACAACACTAATCCAGAGGACGTTGGACTAGCAGTGCGAGCAGAAGGATACATTTTGAGCGAGAACTTAGAATTTGTATATATAGCTACCGCCTTACGTATATGAGTCCGAACTGCCTAAACGCGTGCAATTTCACTGATGAGATTCCCTGGAATGGTTCCCAGATGTTGAACTGGTTCTCCGGGTTAGATGAATAATTTCGGAACCTATTGCAGATAGCTTCAAAGTTCCATGGGCGTTTTGGCTCCTTCTCATGACAGACGAGGGCTAGACCATGGAGGCAGATGTATGAGTTTACCATTCAAAGATGGGACACAATGGTACCGGACAAACAAAATCGGTAAATATGGACCCTTGGTTCATGAATGCATTCTTAGAATGTCTTGTTACAATTTTATTAGTCCTGCTTAGTCTGAAAGCCATTCATATTATAACAAATTCCCTCGGTCTGAAATCAATGACATAACTCCTGTCATAAATTCAATGTGTTCCGCAGCGAGACGATGTATAGGAGGACGTTGCTTTTGAGTTTCAAGGGCAATGTACTTGGACATCCTTGGTGAGAAACGACTGGCAACGTTTTGCAGACAACACAAACCGCTGGCCTTCTTTTTCCAGGATCATGGCTTTGTGGAGTCAAAGCACAAGCATTCAATACTGGCAAAAGCTGGATTACAGCTTATGAGCAGGTCGTTTTAAAGTTGCGCTGACAGCTCGTGGTCAAACTACAAAGCTTTACTGGAAATTGGGAAAGCTGGCTCAGAAATTCTTCAGATTCACCTGTGAGTGAAGAATTTTCACGCAACTGATTGTTGTTGGTTAAGATAGAGAAGCAGAGTCCATGCCTAGAATGGGGACTGATCTTGTAATTCTGCACTTTTCTGAGCAGGTTCGGTTCAGATTCGGTTCAGTTGCAAGTTGGGGATGACAAGTGCCTGCACGGAAGAGTTCGTTGCCGATAGTTGGGGTTGCTCTTATCCAGATAGGCCGGGACCTGTGTTCTGAACTCCACGAACTTCAACAAACCCATCTGTAAAATTTCCTTTGTAGATCATGCATAAAATAGGAGATCGGGAAATACGCACTGGACATCTGTAATCCTTCATCCCTGCAACTTCCACGTAAACAGGGGATCGAGCCGAGCGAGGGAAGTAGTCGCAAACTAAGTCACAGACTTGTACTGTGCTCGGCCAGAGAACGCGCGGATGACTCGACACCTTCGAACGTTTCAAGTTTCATATGTGTCAGACCTGCTCGTTAGATGCGTATAGGTTCGGTGATTCCCATCAAGTGAAATCTAGTCAATGGGATACATTCGAATATTCATCCATGGATTATCTAATGCCTATGATTGGTAAAATAAAAGCACAGCTGCCTGGAAACCGTTCCAGACCACTTAAGACATGGATAGTCAAGGAGACAGTTTCTGTCACGTAAGCTGATGTATGTGATCCGTTAATGAGCATAGCCCTTGGCTGATATTGCCAGTTTTATTCAATCATATGATTTCACAATTTGGAAAGGATGGACTCTTTTGTAGCTATGTCATCAAAAAATGTCATCGACATAATCACAGTTGCAACAAAGGATGAAAAGAGCTAGCTCTTGAGCTTTGGCATTGTTTCTCCGTGGAGGTACTTGACTAACTGATTCTCAGGAGATGCTACAACAGCTCGTACACTAAGGTAGAGCCGATGGATTCCTATGTTTTTCCTGATTCTCCTGCCAGTCTACGGTCGGTCTGAACGAGCAGACGGAATAAGTTCAGGCGTTCTAGAAAGCTGTGAGCTAAACAAGGTCGACAACAACCCGAGGATTGTAGCAGTTCTGATAGGTAGACTGAAGAGTTTTGACCCATTCTGAAAATTTTCCTCCATATTCTAGTTCTCAACAAGTTCGTCCACGTTTTTCACTCGCTCTAGTGTTTCTACGCGTGCACATCTCATTTATTTTAAATGGCCACACTCGAACAACCATACAGTGAACTCTACAAGCACAACTAGTTCCCATGATTTACTGCATTGCACCTTGTCATGAGCGATACTGGGAGAAATATTTTTCATTGTACTGGCTCCTGAGGACAGTATACTGCCTCTTGTTGAGGAATTCGGTACACACAATGAGAGCGAAATGTGGGGAAATTTTAGCAATTCGAGACAACGTAAAATATGCATGTATTTTCTAAAGATCGACTTCCCTCCGTCCATGGGCAAATAATAGACGAACAAGTCAGCTCCAAAAGAGAGGTCACATTGTTTACTAAATTCGACTCACTTGTGGTGAGCCAGTATGAGATCTTATTGCTTGGGGGATTGATCGGGCTAATTGAGATGTGTTGCCTCTTGAAGAATGCCTGAAAGTACAAGAATGTACCACATAGATACGACGGACGATCAAATGTAAAGAGGAGACCAGAAGTACGTTGCTACGAGGATGGCTTCCTTTCGAACAATCATTATCCACTTTCAAATTCGATGTACATTTGGTACACAACTATACATGGTCTTAGCCCTACTGAGCAATTCCTACACAAGTCATCTGCCTTCATCAAGTGTATGGTCTAGATGTAAGAATTGTGCCATCAGCAAGACAACTCTAGTATCTCGCGTGTTGCAGTGCTTGTCACTCTCTGTTTATAAGCTCCTCACTACTGATAGTGTGGAACCTTTGCATCTGCCTAACAAAACTTTCTGCTTCATGTGCTATAGCAACGAAGTAAAGGCAAGTGGTCTTCATAAAAGAGTAACTACATAACATAGAGAAATTGGTATACGCATCAACGAACATTGACTAAACAACTCGTGAATATGAATCATCCAGAGCATCTGCAAGAATAGCTCGAAACTTCTGAGTGGCTACTACAACGTCCGGTTGGTTGAATAAACCTGACACAACTGCAACACCTTGTAATTGTTCAGGGCGGGGTGAAGCCATAACCTCCTTCACATTGTGGTCTTTGATGCCACCAATGGCGACCACAGGAAGGGGACTAGCCTCGCATACTTTCCTGAGCCCTTCGACTCCAATGGTTTTGTTATTTTGTTTTGTATTTGTAGGATAAACACCCCCTGATCCTATATAATCTGCACCTTCTTCCCAGGCTCGCATTGCTTGTTCTGGTGTCTTACATGATACTCCAATTATTTTCTTAGGGCCCAGAATGGCTCTTGCGCGACTGATGGGTAGATCAGACTGACCCAAATGAACTCCATCTGCGTCACAGGCCAAAGCTATGTCTATCCGGTCGTTGATCACCAAAGGTACGCCGTACTTGCGCGCAATTTTCAGCGACGCCTCTGCTTCCTGAAAACAGTTGATTGCAGCTCAAAATGTATAATCCCTAAAAACTGATAAACCCGGCGTATCGTATGAGCTTGCAAAAAAGAAGAAGAAAAAGGAACCAAGACGAATGTCTGGGCGATAATTACACAAACATGCAGCTGTACACGTCCTAATCATGGATAGGCGATGTGAGACCACGGTTATTCTGTGTGATACTTCATAAACTAATAGGTGTACTAATAATACTATCCTATGTTTGAAAGTGTCATAAAGAATACTTGAGAGAGAACAGGCAACAACAAGTGCTGTGTTTCTGAGTGCAGCTAAGCTATTATAGTTAGCAAGGAATATTAGTCCGATACATTACTAGCTCATTGTTCCATCCTCCAAGACAAACTCTGTCCAGCACTGACTTGACAACTTACCTCAAGAAATTCTCCAGAATCAGCTTCTTTCTCTCTGTTAGAAACAAGGAATATGAATAAGTATGACAAAGAGTGACAAGAGATGCACTGATAAAATTGAGCTCTGTAGAGCAGCTATTACCGTATTTGCACGATGGTTGCCCCTCCCTCTATCACTGCTTGCACAGCCTCTGACGTGGAGCGCCCCCACTGTTTATTCATGGACGAATCAGTGACAGCATAAAGTAGAAGGTGGTTTGGTCTGAAGTGCGGCTCCCCGAGACTCTCCCAGTGGTTCAGTTGATGCACGTGATTAAGAGGACCTTGCGCACCACTACCTATAGTCAGTTTAGCACTTTTCTGCAGAGTTTTCTCCACATATGTCTTCGCGGCCTGCATTTTCAACAGAACAAGCGGAGAGAATCCATCTTTAGCTAAGATTGTGATACTCAACTGGACTCCAGTTTCTTCCCACTATGTTGTTGCTTTTATATTTAAGGAATATTGAGTCTGTTCGTTATTAACTTGAATATTCTACATTTTAGACTTGCAAAATCCTTGACACTAAAGAAGTGAATTGGTATCCCATCTACATGAAGGCTAAACTGCTCGACCTTTCAACCCTATGATAACGCAATGGATTTGTCTACCGAAATCCTTGGGCCTTTGACAGGACATACAAACATGACACATGTCTTTAACTTCATTAGAAGTAAGACTGAGTTAACAATCGTTCAAACAATGTGACTACTGCAAACAATCATATTTACAAAAGAGGGGTTGATATTATTTCAATACCTGGACAGCTTGCCTGACATGTGATCCTTTGGCAAGCTCGGCTGCGATTGCTGAGGCAAGACTACATCCAGTGCCGTGCGTGTTACGGGTTTCCACTCGTAGACCATGATACTCATGACACTCTGACCCTGAATGAACGATAATTTGGTTGATTTAGGTGACAGTGGTAATCGCAGGCAACAACCTTGAGAGAATCAAAGTTCCAACATGTCAGGAGGGCCTCAATACAAGCGTTTGCAAGGTTTCCTATGGTCTTTGAAATCGAAATCTGCGAGAAGTATTCTACATTCGTTGTAAAGCCAAAACTTGTCCTCCACCAAACAAAGGGATTTCTATGTCTGAAATACTGTGGCTTAAACTAGACACAAATTGGTGCTCTATAGACACTTCTCTATAGAGTAACTTACGATAGAAATTAGCAGAGATCTTTAATCAGCAGAAAATATCATATGCATAATAATTTTGAAGTGACGGCTTAGATTACGTTGGTAATAGTTTCAGAATGAGCCCTAAACCATAACTAATTTAACCAACCACCTAATCTTGAATTCAGAGGTCGCGCACATAGAGCTTCAAACGGAAAAATTGCCAACTAGTTTAATCCTCTCCACTAACTTTGGTTGCACGTACGGTAACTTTCGCATGCTTTCAAAATCAGAGCTTCTAACAATCTCAATGCGCTGGTATGCGCAGCTGAAGAGTATACATGTTCAGTCTACTCAAGGAAGATACAATTGCCGAAAAAATTGATTACCATCATAAAGAATATCAACTATGTCGTCAGAGCCTGATAAATGTCCACCTTTGATCAATACGTACCTGAAGCACAACAGTCAAGCACACGGAACACATACTTTGGTCTTCTGCGCTGGCAGAGTGCACAACTCAAGCAATCTACTCAACACTGTATTTTACGGCCTCTCATCGAGTCAAATAAGAGTAACACTAGAATTCTCGAACGAGTTTAATCTGCTGGCCAAATACCACAAAGATGATGATGACTAACGCGACAGAGGTTCCATACCGCGGGCCCATCTTATGAATTTCCGCAGCGGCTTTCCGCATTTCTTCCAACGTGCCAACTGAAGCTCCATCAAGCAGCATTGATGCTTCCGGCAGGTTTGGTGTCACAACCTCTGCTTTGGGAAGAAGCTTCTTCCTGAAAAAAATGAAGGACGATAAACGGATGTGAGACTTCAGTAGCAAACTATGTTAACATATTTGTTTTTCTTATCTGAATTATTTTCAATACTCCATCTGGCTCAGATGAATTCGAGGATGTAATAGCAGCTTTTGCTCTGGTTTCTACTTACGGGTTCAAGCTTACTTACAAAAGTCCCACACTTAGCCTTCTAGCTCACTAAATGGGAATAGTCCTGTTACAAAAGTCATATATGTTGGTAATCCCAAAGACGAGGGAAGACCTTGGTAGATTTATATGATCTTTATGCTCTAGATAAACCTACTGGAATCAATCACTAACTGTAAGTTCTTAACTGAAGATAGAAGAGTTGGAGAGTCAGACCTAAGAGCATCTAAAATTCCAGCGCCTGCAAGTTCATCACCGCTCGTTGCCACCATAACCGGATCGACAACAACTGCTGCCCTACCAAAACAACCCGTGCTACCAACATAAAGATCCATACACACAAGGAAAGAAAGGAAAAACACTGCCTTCTCATAAACTCTACGAAACACTTGAAGTCATTACAGAAAGCAATTGAAGGAGATATACTCTTCAGCCCATTCCAAAATGTACATATGAGCTATATATGCGTAGTATTCTGAAGTGGAAATCACACAAATAACAATCAAGATACATGACCTCCGTGCAATCAATTATACGCTACTCAAATATAACAATCTGAAAAGAGAAAGGCCTGAAGTGGAAGATCGAGTCAGTAGCAAAGTAGTGCTTAAACGCAGGCCTAGGAATCAATACCTCGGACCGGAAACAAATCCAGCACTGAGCAAAGAGTATCTATACAATCGGCTGATGGCAACATGCCAGTTTTCACCTGAAAATGTCGACCACATAGGTTGGTAAAAATGCAAAGACTTTGACGACGTTTGTAGCGGTGCGACTATATATAGGACAATATCCTCCAGAAAGAATAATCACCATAATTTCACTGTGAACTTGGGATGAACTGTCAGTACTTACAATCACCCTTAGTACACATTGCGAACGATTCAACTGCATCAATATCAACTATCAGAGGCAAGCTTTAAGTGTAGATGGCAAAGTCAGCAGTATTCTCCTTACCACATCAGCTCCTATGTCTGAAAGAACGGATCTCAGCTGCCTTTCCAAAAAATCTGCTGACACAGGGTAAATTCCCTGCATCAGAACGGGAAATTTGTGAGTTCACGGGTAGTAAGATGCCCTTCGAATGACAAGTAAGTACCATACGACAAACACAAAGATGCAAATTATTAGACCCTTATTCAGTAACCTTCCACGTTGAGCAAATATTTTGCAGTTCCGCTCAAGCAAAGAATCAGATATACAATAAAATATTGAACACATGAGCTGTATCTACACACTTTCAGGCGTCCTGAACACTACCAAGCAATTCACTCAGCACCTACATCCTTTAGATACTGCTCAAATTCATACTCAGATAATTTGTATATACATTACACCTGCACGCCAATCGTATTCTGAGCAGTCAGAGCAGTGATGGCAGTCGTGCAAAACACTCCCAGAGCTGCACATGTTTTGATGTCGGCTTGAATTCCAGCACCTCCTCCTGAATCAGACCCCGCGACACTCAAAACTCGAGGCACTTTCACAGCCATATGTTTTTCCTCTGTTGCTGCGGACTCAGAGATGGCCATTCTTACAAACTGCGGGCGGGTCTGCGCCGACGTCTGACTCGAAACCTGCAGACATCATGGCATTAGATTAACTGATTTCATCATTCTATTTGATTTTAGCGCGCCAATCGGATTCTGCCCTGCTTCACATCATCCAGTCAAAAGTATTCCAAACTTAAAGAAGAAACTTCAACCAAAAAGAGCAAAAGGAAATTCGAAATATGCGTAACTCACGTGGCAGAGAGGATTACAGGCGGGTCGTAATCTCTGCAGGCCCAACATTGCCATAATTTAGATCCTCCCCAATTGCGTCTAATCGACCGTCTTACGTACAAAGTCAACTTTGCTTCTTCATTTGCCGATCACTTCAATTCCCCAAGCTCCTCGGATGCAACTCGCCTTTGGCCCGTAATCAAAGCTGAGGACGAGGAAAAATGGAGTGGAATCAGGGTTTAGGGATTGAGATAATGTTCACTGTTCGTACCGTAATTGTCAGACAAATCCAAAGCTTTGCGTTCACTGGCACCAGAGCCTTGGCCACGTCCCGTGCTTAGTACATGGCTTTTACCGAGTTTAAGTCCAGGATGTGCTGACAATGGAACGCCCTTGGCCACGTCCGATGCTCACTGCATGGCTTTTACGGATTTTTGTCTAAATTTGTGCTGACAATGAAATGCCCTCGATCGAATGCATTCACTCTTTCAGGACTACAATTCAATACTCTAGGATCACAGGAGACTAATTTTGTTCCATCTCTCTTCCAGTCTCTGCATTTTCTGTTGACTGAGGTCCTTCTCCAGTTTGTTTGAGAGCATGATTGTCGATGTTGGAAGGCACGTCATAAGTTCGATGGGCAGACAAGAGGGAAGGAATGGATGACAGACATTCCATCCAAGCCCCATTAAATCAAGGCTTTCTCTTTGCAGATTATTACATATGAGTAGCGTATGCTTGCAAAATTCTAAGTTACGTACGTAATCTACGATTTTTCAGACTGTTAGTGCAATGAGCAGTACTGGTTAACTTATGATCACCTATTGACTTTAATTAGCCAATTAGAGTTATTCGCAACTCGAGATGAAATCGAAATGATTGAAACAATTTATTGCTATGTTTTGTTTCATTTCCTGGAATCTTTCCTTCGGTTCTCCTCACAAGTTATATATACTATAAAGTTGAGACGAACTGTGGTGAACATTTGCACTTTTTGTATGACAAAAGTCCGTAGATCACATGCGATTGATTATTAACAGGCTCTTTTAGCTAAATGGCACGTCCATTCTCACTCTTCCCGCCACATATATATATATATATAAATGACGGATGTCAGCGGAGTTAGAAAACTATGGCCATTATTTGCCAACATCTCGAGATCTGATGAAAAAACATTGAAGCAAGTTAGGAGTGGAACTAATTATGTGCCTTTTTTTTTACATGTGGATTTTCATAGTTATGAACTTTGCATATGATTTCTGTGGATATGAGATTTATTATTCATGCATGCATGAATAAACTAAAATATTTTGATACTTACTTCCAGTCACCAGTAAACAAATCCAAATTATATACAAATAATTCTATGGATATGAACTTTGACTTAGCATATCTTATAAAACTTAATGATATGATTCCACTAAATTTTAATTCAAATGGAATTAACATGCAAAACTTATTTGTACAACTATACAGTTGTATTATGTTCGAGTTGGTAGGCTTACACCGGTCCTTACTTGGTTAATGATTAAGATCGAGTAGTGACTATTCAATAACTAGTAAATTTCTTCATGTGAGAATTTTAGATAGTTATGGGAACATAAATAGGAGCATTGAGAGTGGTCAGAGGGAGGAGTTCCTGACCTTATATATATATATATATATATATATATGCAGATTTAATCTCACATCTAGATGTTATTCAGAGCTAATATTTACATAATCAATAAATAATTTAGAATTATACAAATTTATAGCAAATATGATACTAAGATGCAACATTTCTAAAATACATGAATATTTCATATATATATATATATATATCGTCTATTGCAAAAACAATCTCAAGTCTAGTACAAATCATCGACAATCAAAGATTTCTCAATATGTTGTCATAACACATATATTATTTGCATTGTATTAACAAGTAATCAGAACATTGATTTTTTCATGTTCAATCATACAAGAATTTTTCTAACCTATTTGACTTGAATGATTCATAGTATTTTTTTCAAAATTCTTTGGATAGTCTTACTCAAGATACATCTTCTGGCATTGTGAAATTTTATTTTCATTTCAATACTCATAATAAGTTCATATTTATCAATATTAATTTTTTTTGGGAACGATGAGGTTGTAAGTTTTAATGAAGTTTCCACATGATCAATGATCGTAAGGATCAAAGGTCCGAATCCGAAAGGTCCTATCCTACACCCCAAAGGTACGAAATAAAATCTAAAGGTTCCCAAGGATCCGAAAATAAAGCTAAACAAAGCTCTGTTATTTCGCTGAAATCATTTTCTTTTTCCCAACCTTTTGCGCACCTCTCACACACCCCCGACGAGGCGCTAAGAGTGGTCCTCTGCATGAAATCCTTCTTGTGCCTCCGGCAAATGGCGGTGTTACATTTGGCGCACTTGGGCGACTGCGCCCAGCAGCTGAAACAAACATAGCGCCGGCAGCAGGCCCTCTTAAACTCCTCGTCATCCACAAGCAAGCAAGTACCGCAGCCACTACAACTCGGCAAAGAAATGAAACAATCCCGGCAAGCTTTGATGGGGTCAACCCTTGCTGCATTCTGACAACTTTTCCTCGTACAGTCGAACACAACCGTCGCATAATGTGAGTCGCACATGGGACACATCTCAACATCCTTAGCTCGATCGTCATCAATGGTACTTGAGGACAGGTACACAGGCCAAGTGGTCGGTGATTGGTAAAGAGGCCAAGTGTTCGTTAAAAGTCCGTTTGCTCTCAATATCATATCTCTCTTAGTGAACTCGTTCTGCTCCTGGATTTTAAATTTTCCAAGGATTTGCAACTGTTTGATACCGCTCATCCCTTTCGATCGACTCATTGCACAGTGCTGCTCCACCGTATGCACAAGGGCATTAATATTGAGCTGTATACATCCTGGGACGTCCAGCTGCAAGAATTTGTAGGAGGAGTAAGCTGCTATGAAAACCATGTAAGAAACAAAGTTGATGGTAGGAATTGCAGATAGAAGAAAATGAGGTTTCGGCAGGAGATGTTGCTAACCTTCTCAAGCTGGGGACAGAGTGATAGCGCATTGGCTAATCCTTCATCAGTGATCCATAAACATGTGACGAGTCTCATACTCTTCAGTAATCCACCTGCCCTCTTGACAAGGGTCATAAGAATGTCATCTGTAAGGGCCCTGTTTAGAGGGCGATCAACCTCTAACTTTCTCCACACCAGAACATCATTCACTCGGCTGCGCATTTGCTTGCTTACCCTCTCGAGCGTGAGAAGAGATTTCAAATCTGCGTATGGTAAGATGGAGAGAAACCCGTCGGGAAGGTCATCGGAGTGTTCAGTACATAGAGCAGCCTCCTCTTCCTGCCTTTCCTGCAACTTCAAGTTGGAGCAAGACGGTCGATATGAATTTTCTGTCAACTCTTGCTTCACTTCCTCGCAAGAGCTTTCTACCCCTGACATCGCTCCCCTGGAATCAATGCCACAGTCTTGCTCTCCACCGAAGTCTGCCTCAAGATGCATCCCGCCTCTCCTTCGTTTTGATCCAGAATCTTTTACCACATCTGTCTCAGGAATGAAGTCTGTCCCTACTGACAGACCTGACAGCTTCTCAGTCAAAGCTTTCTCTACTGTCCCCATGTTTACTACTCTAGCAATTTCTCACGATCTCAGTTCGTTGACGACCCCGGACTGTCATACTGAGTCTTTGATCGTTTGCAGCGTCGTAACGAGAATTCGTCACAAAACTACCATGAATCCTGAGCAATCTCTTCGGCGTCTTTCGCTCCAATTCCAGCTTCTACACCTTACCATGCTCCAGTAATCAGAAAAATGAACCTGACCTCCTGATGTAACTACATGCGTCAAAATCGTTATTGCACCGGCATATTGTGACAATTATGGTTGAGAGAATCGAGAAGTCTTATCCATGCAATTTGTGAAAATGAAGTTCCGTGGCCGAAACTTTGAAACTGCCGACCTGCTGCATCACCATAGAACCGGCAATTTGGAGACCGAATACGCTCTTTGTTGTGAGTGCGCAGTTACTGTGCGGGTGCACGATCGACAATCTGCTGCGCATAGTTGCATGCCAATTCCAGATTCACCGCGGCATCCAGTCTCGATGGACCTGCAGCTTGATCCCTTGGCCATGTACGCAGACTGTTCCAGAACGCCTTGCCGAATGCACAGCACAGTGCATCCGGAGACGACGGCCGCTAGCTTGTACCCATCGCTCAGAATAAACCTCAAGCACCTTAAAAAAATCAAATCACGCTTGACCTGTGCTGATTTCATGTGAACTCGAACCCGAACCCAGATCCACAGAATCCCATGGAACATAATGGAGAAGGGAAATCGGAGTTCAAGCAGCTCGCTTCACCAAGTGGGTCAACGAGAGAGTGGGTGGGTGGGCCTTGCCCTTGCCATTCGACTCTGGCTCGAACTCTTTCTAAGAAGGGAGATCGACTTTGTTAATCGACCATGATCGATGACGATGTACATACAGGACCACGAGTGGTGGTGGACTCGGTGACTAGCAGCCATAGCGTGAACGCTGAGAGAGCGCTCTGATCAGACCGCAGGGAGTGGTTGATGGCGAGGTGCGGCATGGAGGGAAAGGAAGGCAACGAGATTCCACCTGTTCCCTGGCTATTCTATTCTAGCCGAGGTGCGTGTGAATCACAACCAAACAATCTGAGCCTTTGTCTGAAGGCTTGGGCCGCTTCTCACTCACATTGACTTGCAGACAGCAGTAACCCAACCTATTCCTGTAGATGGTGGCCCTTGAACGCGAGGTGAAGTTGTGGGGCTGATAAAAAGGAGCATGGGACATGAGTGGAGAAGGCCTGCTTTCGCTCCTCCTGCTCCTCCTGTTTGAAGGTGGAGCTCCCGGGCCTTGCTGCTTTATATACTTGGTCTTTTGGTCATCTTCTCAGAGAGGGAAGCAGCTCGGGCATGGGCTGTCTGTTCTGCAGCTGAACTCCGCACTCAGCGGTAACCACTTGCAGCGTTTCTAGGTAAGCTGAATCTTCGGCTCTTCACCCCTTCGTGATTCTCTTTCCCGATCCCGATCCCGATCCATCCATCTACCTCATCTGCCACATTGCTCTCAGGTTAAAGTCATGCGTGCCCTCAGTTAGTCGCCCCTTCTCGAGCTTAATCCGGGTACCTTCGCTCGAGCCTCTGAGTCGGATCTACTCAAACGGTACTGCACTCGTCGCTGCTTCCATAGCCGGTTACGGATCGGTGGATTGCCCATGCATTTTGCAGTGGGGAGAGGGTGAATCTAGTGCAGCAGGTCTGAATCGTCGTCGTCGTTGTCGTAGATCAGCTAGATCTTGAACCTTAGGAGTCAAATTTGCCCGGTCGGACCAAAGGTGGAGCAGTAGATTTGCATTGTGAGATTGGATGGATCCTCTAGTGTATTTCGGTCTCTAGACTTTCAATCCCGATGAAACCCAGGAGTACCTCGGATCTGACAGACTATGCACGCCGGGAACGAAGAAAGAATGCGCTCGATTATTGGTCATTGATGTGAACGATCCTGTCTGCAGAATGTCAAAGTTGGATGAGATTCGGAGCAGTCTTTTCAATTTAGACATGGGTGATCTGCTTCGTGGAAATGTCATGGAGTCTAACTAGTCAGGGCAGAAATTGAATTGCAGAGTGATTGATCTGTCCAATGGTGGGGTCGGTGCTGCAGGAGTGATCTACAATGGAGGGACAGCAGTTTCCATCGTTCGCCCAGAAGTTCTCTGGGCAGACTTATCTTGGATCCAGGATCGTGCCAAGGAGGTCAGCGGTCGCTCCGGCTCAGGGCTTGAGCTTCGGAGCTCCCAGCTACCGGCCTTCGTCCATCTACAACCCTCTCTGCCCCATCGACCTGAGCCATGGCCCCAGCATGGTGCCGTCCGTGGCATCGAGCGTCTTCGTCCCCGCCCCGGCAGAGAAAGGAATCCAAGGATTCATGATCGATTTCCTCATGGGAGGAGTGTCGGCCGCCGTGTCCAAAACCGCCGCTGCTCCCATCGAGCGAGTGAAGCTGCTCATCCAGAACCAGGATGAGATGCTCAAGTCTGGCCGGCTCGCCGAGCCCTACAAGGGCATCGGCGAGTGCTTCAGCCGCACCATCAAGGACGAGGGAGTCGTCTCTCTATGGCGAGGCAACCTCGCCAATGTGCTCCGTTACTTCCCCACTCAGGTACTTACTTGCTCGTCACAGATTCACAAATTTCTCACACGAGAATGTCTTGATTCTCGTGACTCTCGCTCGGAAGCTCAAGCCGTCGTGGGTTGTGGTGGATGCAGGCGCTGAACTTCGCCTTCAAGGATTACTTCAAGAAGCTCTTCGGATACAAGAAGGACAAGGACGGCTACTGGACGTGGTTCGCAGGAAATCTGGCCTCGGGAGGAGCAGCCGGAGCTTCATCGCTGCTGTTCGTCTACTCGCTGGATTACGCTCGGACGCGTCTGGCCAACGACTCCAAGTCGGCCAAGAAGGGAGGCGGTGAGCGCCAGTTCAATGGGCTCCTGGACGTGTACAGGAAGACATTGGCCTCCGATGGAATCGCCGGGCTCTACCGAGGATTCAACATCTCGTGCGTCGGCATCGTCGTCTACCGAGGTCTCTACTTCGGAATCTACGACTCTCTCAAGCCTGTTCTCCTCACCGGCAATCTCGAGGTCAGCATGCTGCCCTTCTTCTCTCAATTGAATCTTCATGTTCCCGGGTCCAGTGGAGGCATTGAATTTTCACATTTCACAGCGGACTGATGAAGTGAATCTGTGTTTGTGTGTGTGCAGGGCAACTTTTTGGCTAGTTTCATGCTCGGATGGGGAATCACCATCGGAGCAGGTCTGGCATCGTACCCGATCGATACCGTGCGGCGTAGGATGATGATGACGTCCGGAGAGGCCACCAAGTACACGAGCTCCATGCAGGCCTTCAAGGTGATCGTGGCCAAGGAGGGAACCAAGTCGCTCTTCAAGGGCGCTGGTGCCAACATTCTGCGTGCTGTGGCTGGAGCTGGAGTGCTGTCAGGTTACGATCAGCTGCAGATCTTGTTTTTGGGCAAGGCCTACTCCGGCGGCGGTGGTTAAGTTCCTCGCATTGGCCCTGGAGTTCTGAGATGCGTGTGACGAAAGTCTGACAACAATCAGATGATTTTGATTCTTGATTTCTTCCGTCCTTCAATTTTGTCAATCATTTATATATGCTACTCGGCTTACAGCCCTTGTTTAAAAAATTGATTTGATTTCTCACGAGACGTGTGAGCAGTTTACTTAAGAGTTCGGAACCAAATCACGCCGTTACGAAGTTTCCAAGAAATGATATGTCTAGCGAACCAATTTTGCAATGAAAGAGTTGGAACATTCGACCAGAATTCGAAGTTAAACCTCGTGTACATGTAACCGTGGCAATTGGATGGAATGAACCTCCGACATTTCACCGGAGCATGACAAATTTTGGACTGCCAACTTGACTTGTGAGCCTTGTGCTGGACTGGACTTGTGGACTTGGCCTCATCTCGTCCTGAATTCCAGTTCTGGAGCTTGAAGTGGAAGAGTGCCCACAAAATGTGATCTATGCGGTCAGGAAAAAATTTCGTCCAGATTTGTTGGTTGCGATGTGAACTATGGACCATAACAAGCTGAGTGTCTCGCCCAGTTTTAGCACCAAGTGTAAACGTGCTGCCGGGTACTGCTGCTCTTCTAGGTTGACTGTTGCGCTACTATTTTCTAGTATATAACTTCGACGTGGTAAATCCCACATGCTGATTCCGTTGGGAATAGCGTCCATGAAACTTGTCGTACACTTGAGGCAAATGTGAAAGCATTGTAAAGATTTTGACCGCGATCGTGGCTTACCGTACTGACATTCAGAAGCAAATTCATAATTCAGCACGGTCCAAAGACCATCTGCAAAAGTTGAGTAAGTCACACGCAGCATTGTACAACATGACAAGACGCTGCGATGATTTCTTTAGGTCTGTAATGGCAGCTTTTAAATATAGCAAGAAGTCAGGTGTTGATTCCGTCTAGGAGAACATCGCAATTGATGGTAACAACTTGAAATTGCCTAGTACGAATATTTGGTTTTCTTGCTTGATTTCACTGCATTTTGAAGGTGGCAATTGGAAGTGCTTCACCTGAAACTCGTGAAGCCCTTCAGGACTGAGATCGACTTTTAACGTGAAAAATGCGCAAGGCTTTTGGATTGCCTCATCACCGTCGTCGGTGCATTTACTTCACAGCTGTAATAATTTTCCCAAAAACCGAAATGACATGCAGCCTTCTGCGGATCCTGACAAACTTAACCTTACGAAGTTTGCAAACATTCCTGCCCAAAACGGCCAACTTGCACTCATTATCCAGACGTATGTGTAAAAAAGATATCCTAGAAGAGACGAATCGGTGAGAGATTATATGACAAGGCGTCTCACAAAGTGGGATGCTTGATAGAACCCTTTATTGCAGTGAAGCTGACTTTTCTGCCAGTTTAAACAATTCTTTGTGCTTGGTGTATTTCCAGCTTTTATGTTTTCGCAAAATGTAAGTGCTCCATCTCCTGTATGTTTGAAGATTTCTGCTTGTGAAGGCTTTATCTACTGCTCGTGAAGAGCTTCCGGGTCACTTGGCACTCAAGTGTTTGGATCCCTGGGCTTGACTGAAGGGCTATGTACACTAGGGCTCGGAGTATGTATGTCATGATTTGAAGCATGTAGAAATTACAAGACACAAACAAGCAGAGCTGTCTGCTTGTCATCAGTGGTGTGGAGGCAGATTGGAGCTCCCTGCACAGAAGCATACTGCGAGCCTTCTGGAGGGACAATGTTGTCTTTTGAGTTTTCTTTCACAACAAGGTCAGTCACTGACTCAAGCTGCATCTATTTGGAGAACGATGACTGATCATCTCCTTTACTGTGGTCAAATTGGTCTTATTCCAAGCATTGATCTGAATTCCTCAAAGCAGAAAAGGGTGATAATCGTGTGAGGACCAATACGCAACCAAACAGGAACAAAACCTTTGTACAGTCCCTGGGGTCCTTCGGCTCGCAAGGTCTTCCAGAAGCAGTCCAGAGTAGATGAATATAAAACTCCATCTCCATGTGGATGTACCGCTTGTTGCATTATTCTGCGGAAAGCCAAGTAACGACACGAAAAAGTGAGGCGAGTAGTACTCAGATGCCTCTCAATTCATTTCAACTTTCAACTTTGAAACTTATAATTATTCAACATCAATCCGAATCTAGAATCAAGTTGTCTTGAGTGCATGTACCTGGTCCTCATCAAATCCACTGGCGCTATGGCAAGAGCTGTTGCAAGGCCTGCAGCCATCGATGCAGCCAAATGACTTCCAGTTCCCTCTTTCATGAGGCCAGAGTTGAGCAAATAATGTTTCGTATGATCATAAGTTGGTACTTGTGCTGCATTCAAAAGAGCAGCCCGTTGCATTGTCGGCCCAACCCCTCGGAATAATCCTCTCAAACCTTCGGTTCTTGCTATAGAACCAAAAGCATGAAACGGACCTCGGTACTGCCATGAGCCAGAAACACCTACATGCCCATCAGATAAGTATATTTAGTTTCCTCCGCAAGAGCGCCTGACTACAGAGCACATTAAAGTAGTCAACAGCAACAAAGTATACGTCCAAAATCTAAGTCTGCTTGGTAATCTCGTGTCTGAAAGGCTTAACTAGCCCCACTGACTTCCGACAGGCTTCCTTCATGAACGATCTTCACTGGCTCTTCGTCACGTCAGAAGATGATAGCTCGTTGATGGTTATGGTGTGGAATCAGCTACAATTCGCACCTTTTAGCAAAATTTCGTTCATGACAACGCCCAAAACGAAAAAACCAACAAAACAAAAGCACATCGGCACAAACTTATCCAGTAGGTTGCAGATGCAGGCTTCGGGCTCTGAGCAAGTTTAGTGTTAAGGTTTCATTTTGGTACCTGCAATCGATGTACTAAGAGCCGGAGCCTGCATACGAATCATGATAACATCTGTAGGATTTGCAATGGCACTTCCAATTGTGCCTGCCGATGCCCCTGCTGCCACCTTTATCCACAACGGTGTGTGTGCAGGATTGTCTGCTCCGAAGGCCTGTCCATGAACAGCTTCTTGAATATACTTCAGTTTTTTGAACTGCTACAACTCAAAGTAATTCTAGCCACATCAAACATTCATGGGCCTAGGAATACTTGAGTTTAACGATGTTGAAATAGCAAGAAATCAATTTTGCATGAATTGTGTTCAACTCGAATGCTTTCGTTTCCATAACTTATGCAAAATGCTCCCCGTAAACTAAGTAGGTTTGCTCTGGACGGTTACCTTCTTAAACGGTTCATAGGCACCCATGCGTATACTTGAATAGGATGCTTCTCTAAGTAGTGCAGCTCCTGTGCCTCTCCATAATCCTTGCACACCTTCCTCCTTTCCAATCCGCATGATCCCTTTGAAAAAACCGGGGTAAACACGTTCATGAGCCACCCCCTGTCTTGCTCAGCCACACAGCGTGTACGTGTGTCAATATCCCCTTATCATGATGTCATTTAGTCCAGTAAGCACAACAGGACAAAGACTATCCGTATTCAGGTGTAACTTGTTCTGAAGTGAAATTGCTTCTATCATACTTCTGCACTGGGTGGATTGGGTACGTAGAATATACAATTTGATGATAGAACTTTTCAGCAATTATTAGATACAAGGAGGACTAAGGAGGTCAGTTCCATGTAACATGAAGGCAGATAACGACTTGGAGTTTAAGTCAAGAAATATAGCGATCCCGTCGATGGTCCAAGATAATAAGGTCACACTTTTATTAAGATAAACCGTTCATTTGCAGCAAACGAAATACACAGATCTTAGATAAATGAGTACCCAACGATAGAATTATGTATACATGAAAAATGAAGAAGAATTTTCTTAATGCGACCTTTGCGACGGCGATCATTTAAACATAATCAGAAAGAATATCTACCTGTTTGGCGAGTGCCCCATCCAGCTGCATTCGGACTTTGACAACATTGATCGGGTTTGTGGCTGCGGCTCCACACATATTGCTGACGCCAGCTAGAACAAAAAGAACCCCTGGACTTTGCTGCCATTCTGATTTTTTTCCTGGTTGGTGCAACTGTACGGCTAAACCTATGATCAAGCCAAAATGATGTGAATTACATCGAAAGTTAGAAAAGACAGAATCCGTGGGGGTAACTAGGATGATTGTGCGTCACTGGTACTCCAAAGGAGACCTTGCCTTCCCAGGCCCTCTTCTCAAAAACTACCTCGACCATTCAGGCAGACAGCTAGAGTACGCAGCTTCAAATGTTCTTCTCATAACCCCTTTCATTGCTTCTTAAATTACCATCTACAAAATGCTTGCCGGAAAGGATTTTATTTTTGCAGAATATTCATGTACTAGCTCGGCGACACAGTACAGCTCCCCAGCCTACCCAGGAAAAGAATGCTCAATATACACTCACAAAAATCTGCAGACGACAACATACTCAGAGCACCTTATTCAATTCCTTTAAGGAACGACTAAATTCTACTAAACATGAGGCGAAAGATTTTTAATAAATATTTTTCAGAAAAAGAGGAAAAGAATCTTGAAATTAGTCTTAAGAGACCAGAAAGAAGGCTCATCAGGTGTCTCACGGTTTACGATAGTGCACAACGATTATATCTTATCAGATAGCTTTTATTCAACTCTTTGGACACTTGGTTCTTTATTGCCAAAGATGAGATTCTTATCCACTTTCACCAGCACATAACTGCACACTGCGACTTAAGATCGCCAAGGTGGACTGATTTCACAGGGCCCTGATTTCAAATCCTCTGGAGGGTGTTGTGAAACTAGACATATGCAGAAGGAGAAACGTTATTCAAGTTCAAGTTTGGTGATTTCAATAGACTCTCGAATCCCGTCAAGAGCACAAATCTTTATTACACATCCACGACCAGATTATGAACACAGAAGGTATCACAGCAAGCGATCGGCCCTCAAAGACGAGTAAAAAATCCAGAAAAACCTCAGTTTCCGATCCCTCCAGTCTCAATTCTCGCCGTGCTTACGATGCACTGCCAGGCGAGCTCGAAAGCGCGACGATGGACAACAACAACAACAAGGTTCATCCGGAACGAAAATGAGAACGATCGCAGGAGAACCACCACCACCACCACCCGCAAGCTCGCCAAAAGATCACGAGCGAGGGGCAGCAAACACGATCAAAAAGCTCCTCAAATGCGCACTGGCAAAATCCACCGAGAAAATCGCAATTGTTGGCAATTGTTGGCGGCAGCGAAAGGAACTACTCACCAGATGGAGCTGCGGGCCTCTCAGTCGGATGGGAGGAAGCTTGGAGCGCCGCGGCCTGCTCGCCCATCGTCTTCACCGTCGTCCGTCGTCGTCTGCTGCCCCGCGCTCTGATTCCCTTCGGCTCTTCGTTTCCGCGTCCCAATTCCTCCGCGGGCTCGCTGGCCAGGCCCCTTACTCTCCCCTCGCGGATCTCTGTCTCCGCAGCGATTCTTCGTCCATCATTATCCGCAAGATAAACAGTAGCTTTCCTCCGGTACGTTGTATTCTCCGACGGTTAGAAACTCGTGGCGGACGGGGCGGTCTCGACGACCTTGAGTTCGTCGACGGCACCCGCGAGGAGCGTGTCTGTTTTCACGAACATTGCCGCTTTTGTACCACCCACCTACACGTCATAGTCCCGTCCCCTGACGTGTAATGAACATACTGCCTCGGGTTTGCCACCTCAGACACTGTAATACAGTGTCGTCGGAGTATAAGAACATGGCATTCTGGTATGCCCCGATGCGGTCTCACCGACAGTTTCACTAATTCTTTGCCACCGCATCAAGCCTGATTTTGACGAACTTACCAGAAATGCATTCCTTAATATCTGAACGAAGCATAGTGCACCCGGTATTAATGGAAAAGTCTTAATTTTCGGTATTTGGGTGGTGGGCACTCGAAGCAGGGACGCAAATTCGGCAAGTCCATCAATTCTCCCTTCTTCCTTGCAGTTACTATACCTTGCAGGATGAGAACTCCGTCGTTGGTGACGCGGCAGTCAACGTGGACTTCACCTTCCAGCGCGCACGTGGTGGGGACTCGAGAACCGGGTCTGTTGACGGGGCCAGTCTGGGACTCTGATGAGAACTGGCGTGACGATCCGACGTGGTAATCAGGTGATTAGCATGATCGAGCGGCGTTAATGAGAAATCGACGGGTGAGATTGCAGCTCCTGACAGCCCGATTCGATCAACGGAGCAGATCAACTCTTTATCCAACTCGGATTACTCGCCATCATTATGAAGTGAAAAAGTACTCTGACCGCGGTCCGCGAGCGAGACGTGATCGCCCGACGGAGTGTCCATCCCGCGGTCACGATTACCGTATATCCGGTACGAGTCGATGACCGGTCAGTCGCTGGAATGTCCTCCGTGGCGGACGAAGAGATCGTACCCCTCGTCATGAGCAAGACCTTGGGACATGTGTCTCCACATTGTGGCCCACAAAGTTGATGCAAAGCTCGATGACAACCTTTGTAATAGCTCCATCGATCAGGGATAGCCACTCGGACGACTGGCAAAGCTTTGCATTATTCTGCTGTTCGTCTTTGGCGTGTCTTCTTCTCACTTCCCACTGTAGTACTGAGACTGTTCTGGTTTGTCACATTTGAGACTTTTTTCACTTCATCTCGTGATCTTATCCGTCTTTTCTGTGTCCTACAAGTCGTATTGGCTTCACAGACAGTTTGTTGCCTCTCCGAAAGACTGATCGGACCTAGAAGACTTCATATTCCCTTGCTTCCTCTACTGGATTTTGTCTACTTCAGTATAGGAATCGGAAGTTACAGTGGGCCTCACTGAGGTATGATCTGATGGTGTTTTCGTGTCTGCTGATCTCGGAAGTGGAGGTACATCTTCTCCCCTCTTATCGTTTATTCTCTCCACAACTATTCTGTCGTTGTGTTTCGAGTGAGGTGAAATCTCCAGTCGTTACTTAAGTGATCTCATGATAACTATTGAAGTTCACTCTAAACTCATCTAAACTTTCTTGGTGGACACTACCTTTTCTCTAAACTTGGAGACTGCCCTGTGAGTGGTTTTCAATGGGAATGAAAGGACAATCCGACTCAGTTGTACCGATAAGTTAGGAGGTGAGAAACCGGCTTAGTGCTTGCTTCGTGTGTGTATATGGCATTAAGAGAAGGTAGTTTAGAACACTTGTGAGTGACAAACAGCACCCCCTGTCCACAAGCTTCCAGTTAGTAATATCGCTGAATTACTCTTCAGTTAGTTAGTTTGTCGTTGACTACTCCTTAGTTTACTGTATTATTCTACTAGTTAGTTTGTCGTTGACTATACTTCAGGAAACAATATTTTCCACAAACTTATGGTGATACACACCGAAATACTGTCAGTCCTATCGTATTTGAAGTCAGACTGACAGTTCTCCTCGGCACCGTACAGAGTTAAGCTGACACCGTTCCGTTAAGACAGCTCCCGAACATGATTTATTCAAATGTTGTCAGGCCTTAGGTTTTGTCATACTCAATTTAGACGACGCCTAGAACAGTACTCTCGCAGACGGCATGAGATCCTTCATGCAGAAAGACGATTTAGGGCCCCTAACGGACCTTGCGTCTGGGTGGGGAAGGGTGTGATCTTTGCACTCGAGGGTCTCGGAAAGCGAAATTAGCATCAGAAACTTTTTTATCTCTACCATGGTCGAGCACTTCCAGCGGAATCCACATGTTCTATTTGCCGGCTGGACGTCAGAAATAAGCGCGACACGGCTATGACCTCCTCCCAAATTTGGATTCACGACGCTCGCACTCAGAGTTGAACACAGCAAACCTGCGGGCTTGTGCTGCACATGCCCTTTCCCTGTCCTCGAGTGAATGAGTCCTTCGGTCGAACCTGAACATGAAATGTATGCAGAGAGCCGAAGCCGCGCACAGTCTCATCGGAGAATTCGGTGTTCCTGGAAAGTTAGTAGTCCTGGTGGTAAGGACTTAATTCCTCTACGAGCCATTCACTTTGTAGATTTTACAACTTAATCTTAGAATGTAGACAAAGCTCGTAATCGATTGTCCTTGAGTTTATCAGCTTTGTCTAGAAATTAGAAGTCAACACCTTCACGCGTTCGCATTTCTTAACATACGCGGAAGAACGGAAGGACAACACGGGCATATCGTTGGCGTGAGGGTTTAAGTTTAGGGATTAAGTACGCTCTCTAAAATAGTCGTAAGTACTTCCTACACTACAGCACTTCCTAAATAAGGCCAGACCTGCCTTTAAGTGTGACATAAGAATGAAAGGTCTGGTCCCACCTAGAATACAGTTCTGATTTCCAATTGGATACAGCACTCATAGTTCACAAAAGTTTCTTCTACGATAAACTCCTTCGCTGAACGCCTGGAATTGTCCATGGGACGTGCGAACCTACTAATCAGCAGCCTTCCTCCCCAATTTTCTGTGATCGTAATCCACTTTGCACACCATGGCCTTTGCGTGCATCACACAGCAAGTGCAACTCCCAGCCAAGGTCTGTACCCGAGATTGAATTTTGCACCTGCTGTGTGAAGCATGATAAAGCAATAATGAGTGCCCTGACTAGAATCCCGGTCTGCTTTTCAGACAATGTCGACCCGCTGAATCACGATATGGTATTTCATTGTGAAAGATGGAAGCCATCTGTCGAGACATGGAAAGTAAAGGACGACAATCCAAAACGGAGAATTAGAGGCTTGAAATGATTCTGGGAGCCTATGAGGAAGAACAAGGTTGCATCTATTGTGCCTCCACTCGAGCCCCACAATTGTCCTCCAAAGGCTTAGAAACAAATTTTCAATTTACTCTATACCGAGACCTTCGGCTTACTACGGATCTGAAACCTTCAGCCATGAAGGGTTCACTCTCGTAAACAACGAAACTAGGACATCAGACCGTTGTTCCCAGTCCAGTTATTGATGAAAAATATCGGCAATAGGAGGAGAGGGACACACATGCAGTAACCTAGCAAACCTCCGACTGAAGATAGAATTCACCGTAGTTGTACCATTAAACAGATCAACACCCTTCCACAAATCACATAGCGTTGATTACAATACTAGGATCCCCAACGAAATTACACTGTCCGCTACAGCACACCACCATCTGCTGGAAAATAGGCAAGATACCGACGCCGCTTGGACAGATCGTTCTGCATCACATACCTTAAGGTGCTACAGACAACCAACCGCAGAGAAATTGCCATCTTTAACGAGCCAAGTGAAAATCAAGCGAAGTTGCAAACTAAGACTCCGTTTGGCATTGCACTTCACAAGGAGAACAAACTGTACCGCTTACTTATGTTCATCTTCGCCGATCAAAGAAAAATCACAACACAAAAATGGGACAGATATAACAGTGGTCTCGAATACGCTTTGCAGTGATCAGAACAAAGAATGCCAAATCCCATCACCAAAACAACACGAAAACACTGCAAGCGATGACTCGTCAGTCGAGGACAACATGATGCATTCGCAAGAGGCCGAGGCGCAGGAACAGGGATCTACGTGACACAGGGAAAAGCTCCATTCCAGGTACAGTCATGCATTGACACAAGGAACACTCATGTCCGTCATCAGATGAACACGAGGCCACCGAGTGCCGCTGCGCAGCATCAACACTCCGCGTTGAACTCGGAGAATTCAACACCGCAAAGGATCGAACAGGTCGCTCCGATCGCGGCAGGCCAGTGAAGAAGACGTTGCTTCGCCGAGCTTATCCACCAGCCGGAAAACCCTAAAAGTGTCGGGAGCTTAGGGAAACCCAAACATGGCAGATTTTCCCTCTTTCTCTCTCTATCCTTCTATGTTGAGATTATAGTAAAAGTATGTGGACAAGACGATTGAACTGGGTGACCGGGAAAGGCAAAAGAATTAATAATGAGAGGCAGTAGTTCGACATTGAGATATTAATGTGGCAGAAGCATTATTCTTTGTCGTGTTGATGTGATTCTGGAGGTCCCTAGACTAGAGAAAACTGCGAAAAGAGTAGTATGGCTGAAAGAATGGAAGGGCGATCGAGCTCTAGAGTGATGAAAGGTAAATGTCTCTATAACCAAGAGCTTGAAAAACTAGATATATGTGCTAAGACGGAGCCATATGGAAATATTCTCTGCGGTTGGTTGTCTGTAGCTCCTATATATGCTAAGGCACCATAAATCAGAATTAAATTAAAAAAGCAACGGGCGGCCATAGGTTGTATTTTATCTATCCTATTGTATCTAACATAGTAGGGATATTCAGTCTAAGAAATTCATATTAGAATATCTTGCTTGCAAGATTTTCATTATTAAATAGATGATATTAAAAGATAGATGATCATCTATCTGAATATCATATGTATTATTTTATTTTGATTGTGTAATTTGCAACGTGATAATTATACAAAGAAAATTATATCTAGATGTAATTAAATTTTAATTTTATTCTCTACTACACAACTTACATTTGCTTGTTAGAATTAATTCAGGTCTCGAATTAACCTGACTTGAGTTAAACGTAGGATTATTTATAATATTCAAAAAATTTCCTACTGTTTGAGATCCAAATTTATACGGGAGATCGAGAAATATCACCTCGAGCAATAGTTATTTTTTGCATTTTTTGGATTCAATATTTGTTGTTTCCACTTACATATTCCGAGCTTGGGTGAATGATCTATTTGCGTGTGACGAGTTTGGGTGAATGATCTATTTGCTTGTGACGGATATTTGAATCCGGTGTTTCTTCTAACAATTGCTATCAGAGTCAATTGGAAGGTGCGTTTTTCCGGATGCCACCATCCAAATGTTTCTCCAACTTGCTGTTGACGTTGGACCTACATGGATTGTCTATAAGATGTATGTAGTCACATCTTTCTCTTCTATGAAATATCTAACCATTAACTTGGGTTTGAAAATACTCTATTCCTTTTCAATTGAATTTTACTTCAGTCTGTACATTTAATTATGATCAATCAAGTTTCCAAGTTTTGTTGTCAATTAATGACTACATCTCACATTTCATAATAACATTTTACTCAAATTTTATTGACAAAAGCTTGAGTTTCTCTATCAAATTTTTTTTATTCTTCCAAGATTGACGCAATGTCATTATCATAATTTTAATTTTCAAAAATCAAAATTTCCAATAAAACTATTTTTTTAGCATAAAAATTACAAACAATCTAGACTTGTGTGTGAATATATAAATTCATACAAATCTTGAATAGTAATCAATAGAATATACATTGTAAAATTTTCCAAAAGATGAATATTTTGGAAAGTGTACTCACTTGTTCCAACATCAAAAGTTTCCCTATGTTCTCATAATAAAACTCTTGGATCACATTGACTTTAGACGAATCAGCATCTTTGGATTTCATTTACAATCCTCTTGATGCGACCTTGTTATGTTTCCAACATCCATCATTTTTTTCTCTAAAATTTTATATCTAGACTTGAATCTACTTTTAAAACGAGCATGGCTATCATTCCTTAGTCTAGAATGACGAAGCACTAACGTTGTGAAGATTGTTTACAACTCTTGAGAATCATCTCCACTGTGGATTCTCATACTAACGCTTAAATTTGTTTGCTTAAAACCATCTCCACAAAGAATGGCAAGCTCTCTCTCTTCTTGCTGTCAATGAAGTCTAACAACAATTGCAAAATCTTGGGGATACATGTACATCTGCCTACGAGAAGGACTTCGTGAATGGAGCTCTTATCCATCTTGACGTCTGTGAGTCATTTTTCTACTGAGTTCCACACATTTACTGAACATATCCATGTTCAATCTTTGAATCCAACACGGCTGATGGTTGAATATTGAGATTTGAATATTATCTTAGATCCAATGAGTTTTGTTAGTCATTTGTCATCTCATTGTAAGTATAGATGTAGTTACAAGGTTACCGAACTTGTTGTAGACCTTCGTCAAGTTGCTGTATGTGACTCTTTCCAGCTCCAGCGGAGAGTCCTTCATTTACTTCACATACTCCTCCACAACAATTAAATTTCCATTCCTTCCATGGCAGTAAATTAGCGTGTTGTATATAGCAGTGTTTCCCTTGAGGCCTGAAGCCTTCAAGGAAGTGAAAATACGCACGGCATCTTCCCATCCTCCCGTAAATATTGATCATGGTGCCAAAAGCTACCATATTCCTGCACTTCCCCGTCTCGATCATGTCCAGGAAAAGTGCCTCTGCACATCTATGCCGACCCACTTTGAAGTACACATTTAGCATGGTTGTGTGAATTCTGTTATTCACAGGGTACCCGACAGCGTGCATCTCTTCAAAAAGTTTAATAGGTTCCCACAGCTGCCCAACCTTGGCGTAAGTTTTTATGAGAATTGAAACAACGCACTGCCAGTGCTTCTTTTCAAACCGAAACTCTTTCATCGCCTCCAGCAAATCCCTGGCTCTTTCCACTTAACCCACATTGGCTTACATGTTGATCATGGTCGAGAAAACAACAGGATCGATGCGGCCACCCAGTTTGATGGCTTGATCGAATGCGTCATTTGCGTCTTCAATTCAGCCCGCCCTCGCATATGCGTGAATGAGCGCGTTGTAGGCTACTTGATCCGGCTCATAACCTGCTTTCTCCATTTCCCTAAACGTGGCAGTTGCAGAATCTAGCATCCCTGCTTTGCCATAAAGGTCGACCAAAACGCTGTACATGATCCGATTTGGTTACATACCTCGGCACTTCATATGGGCCACAATGTCTTGTGCTTCTTGCACCCTGTCCGCATTTTGACAAGCTGAAAGGAGCGCGCAGTAGATGATCCTTTCTGGAGGGCGATTGTGATCCTTCAGCTGCTCATAAACAGAGAAGACCTCGGCAAACCGGCCATCTCGAGCGAAAGCAACAAGGACCAAATTCCAGGTGAGAAGACTGGGAACGAAACCACTCCAGAGCATCTTCTGTAGCCATTTGTTTGCCAGCTTCGTATTGCCATAATCAGTGGCGATTTTGATCATCTTCTTATAAAGCGCAGCGTCTGCAAGGCAATTCTTCTTGCTCCCCATCTTGTACATGATGATGATTTCCAACCCCGCCCAATGCCGCTTTTGCAGATGGCATTGCAAGAGCGCATACATTGGGCGATTCGCCTCGAGGCCGGATGGATGCTTCTTCATCCAGTCGTAAAACCCTAGTGGATCCGTGACCTTACCTAGGGCAATCTCCGAAACACTAGAGTCGCTACGCACACTGACACCAGCCGAGAGAGTGGAGCCATGGAAGAATTCAATGTCGACCCGTGTACTCCAGCACATTGCAATCTGCCCACGATCTGCTCGACCATGCACAGTCGGCCGGGTTCCAAATCCGAAAACCATTGATTGTTCTTCACTTTTCTCAACTTGTCCTTCCAACTCTGGGCACTCATCTGACTTCGTGTCCAGTCTGTGGAGAGCGCCGGGCCTACGACTCTGCTCTCGCTTCCATCGTCCTTCAACGAGTACTCCTCCGCCTCCACAGCATCGGGAAAATTCTCACAAAAAGCCATCAGCGGCGAGCGCTCATTCTCGTCCTCGCCCGAAGATCGTAGAAAGTTCGACTCACTACTGGTGAAGACCTCGGCCATGGACCTGTCAGCGACCACTCGGGAGATTCAAATTTCTTGTGCCCCCTTGGCATGACTGCTGATGGAACACAGGGGAACGCCCATCACCGACTTCGAGTGCGGGGCAAGCTGAATTCGCCCTGCCGAGTCCTCGGGGCTTCGCGTCTCGCAGCCTCGTCGTCCATTCAGAGCACAAGACGATGTCATGCCCGAAGAGCCCAGCTGCAAGGGCGAGGGTGCCTAGCTCCGCCATGAAAACGAAGGCCCACTTCTACCACGACCCACGAATTTTTGTGCCACTTTTCTCGCTTCCTCCGTCCATGTTTCAATCTCTCGGCAATTCATTCTGATTCTCAACATCTGTATCGGCAACGGACGAATTGAATCGATTACCTCTAAGTCACGACCAGCAAATCTCACCGATACCAATTTTCAGATAGAAGACGAGAATCAGAAAACCATCACACGCAAATACGTGTATCTTCCGGCCTCGGGCTAAGTACAGAATACTGTAAAACAAGTCCTTTTTTCAAAAACCTATGGCAGTTTTGGGTCTCTTAAATCATCATTTTGTTTGTACTGTAGAAAACAAGGCCCTTTGTATCCCGGAGATGCCTACATTTCTGGGAACACTCTTCAATCTGTCATTGAGATGGACTCTCCAATCTCGATGGGTCTCCCTGGAACATCCACTGGCAGGTCGCTCCAGCTTTTGTGACAAATCACGTGCAGGGGGGAGTTGCTAAAGGCCCTCGAAAATCATGGCCTTAGGATTGGTCTGGGCCGATTCCTGCAGATCGTGTGGGTGGATCGCTTCTTATGAAGAAGTCTCTCCTGTCAACCTTAGGCCTTGCCATTCTCAACAGACAAGCCTTAGTTGCAGACGAGGGATATCTGCACACGTTTGGAGGTCTTATGCAATCTCAAGGGTCCATCCCGTCTCTAAACGGGGTAAGAAGAAATTAGAGTAGAAGGGATCACCAGATTCCACCCTTGTACTGAGGACCGTTGCATTTGGTCAAGGTGGAATGACTGAAGAAACTATTGAATGCCTGAAGGGAATAGAGGATCTTGGATGCCGGCCTTGGTCATCATCGTTGTAGAACAGTCTTGTGTACGTTTTAATTAAAGCAAACTGTCCCCACGTAGCTCAGCTTCTCTATCAGCGAATGTGAGGTGCTGGTTGCTGTCCAGATTCCTGCACCTTCAATACTCTTCTAGTTGGAGTGAGTTGCAATTCTGAAAATGCAGAGAGTTTTCGAAGTAATGAAGCATCAGTCGAGCAAACCGACTGCGGCGACAATTGCTATTCTTCTCAATGTTCTCTGCCAAGCAGGAAAGCTAGATGAAGCGTGGAGCCCGTTTGCAACTAAGAGGGATTTGGCAAATGCAGTCCTCACTAACACTATGATCCATGGCCTTTGCAAGCCTGGCCGCATTGAGCTTGCTTTAGAGCTATTTCAACAGATGAAGGAGAAGAAGCTACGTCAGCAGAAGGCCATTTTCAATATCCTCATACATGGTCTTGCCTGCAGGGCCGAAGATGCTCTTTGACTCTTCATACGCCTGGTGAACTGGGAAATGGTACCGGATGTACTCACCTCTAACGTGGCATTGAGAATTCTGATCAAATATTGCCTGTTGCCTGAAGCATGGAGGTTTTTCGAGGCGATGGTAATAGAGAACTTGAGTCCTGATGGTAATACCATCATGGTATCACATACGGCATGCTTAGTGATGTAATTTGTCAAGAGGGTGATTTGGATTCAGCTTTTAAGTTGTTCATGACAATGAAAGTGAATTGCTTCAATGGCTACAAAGTTGATTCTTGTGGTGACTATTGTGAGGCAAAGAAGGGAGATAATGATGTTTTGAGTACAACATATAGTAATTTTGCAGGCTTGAATGTTGACAGGACTGTGTACACTGCATTGTGCACTGAGTTGTTTAAAGTAGATTCAGATGAAGAAAAGGTCAATCCGATCATTGACCGATGATAAACCACCCTCTATCTCCGTTGTGCTAGTCCGAGGAGACATGTCGCACATGCTTCTCAAGCGTGAGAAGATTGCTCACAACGCTTCGTGATTCGTCATGTGAGACTAAGGACTTACAAGGTTGCTAAGCCCATCAAATCTAAAGATAGATCCAAATGTAGGAGTAAAATTTTAGAAAGAACAATGATGGATGCTGGAAATGTGAAAAGATCACATCAAAAAGAACTTACCTCGAAGATTGAGATATTGATTCCTCTATAGTCAATGTGATCCAACAGTTTGACTAAGAGAAGTATGAGTTGCTCAAAAATATTTCTTGAGGCTAGAGCAACCTAGGAAAGTATATGGTGTTAAAACTCACTGTTCCAAACAAATTGTAAAATTGTACTATGTATATTTTATTAACGATTACTCAAGGTTTGTATGAGTTTATTCATTCACATACAAATGGATGATTGATTACGGTCATTTGAAATTTTTTGTTTGTACGACTTATATTTTCATAGCTAAAAAGAATATGATAAAATTCTACCCTACATCTAAGATATATCATATTCTTATATATGCTAGTGATGTAAAAGATTATAGGGTATGAAATCCAATAGCATATAGAATTATTGTCAGTAGGGATATTTCTTTTAGTGAATCCAGATCATTGAAAGCGTGAAGATTTTCAAGTTACCCAAACTAACGAAAGATAAATCTTCACTCACTGATGTTATTGAGGGGGAAATTTCTCATTATGTGATTTATAATGTCATATAGGGAAAATCTCCGTTATAGATAATTTAAATTCTTGAATTGTAGAAATTGAAGTAGCAGATTATTGTTGATGAATCCTAAATATCTATAGTAGACAATAGATCAACCAAAATCTTCTACTAAGAATCATTGAATTAGATTAGTAGAGCTGTTACAAGTTGTGGATTATGGACCGATTGATACGTTCTTGAAGATTGTGATATCAATTTGGAGTATGATGATGATATTGCGTTGATTTTAGAAGAAAAATAACCTTTTTCTTATAGAGAAGCTCAAATCTTAGTCAATAAACTTCAGTGAAATGTTGTTATGGAGCGTGAGATGAAGTCGTTGGTGGATAACGAGACTTGAAAACTTGTAAAACTTGATTGATTGCAAATGAATGTACAAGTTGAAGTATAATCTAACTAAAGACAAGAAGATTATCTTCAAAATCAAGTTGATAGCTAAAGATTATACAAAAAAAGTGTTTATTACAATGAATTTTTTTATCTGTAACTAAGTATGTTACAATTCATTTGGTATATGCATGGGTTGCGATATTTAATCTTCTTATGTACTAGATATAATTGGTTAAAACATTTTTCTATGTATTTTTCTATTTTACAACAGAAAATCTTTGTAAAACAACTAGTTGGCTTTGAGATGAAAGATAAAGAGACATTGATTTGTATATTATTGTAATCAAAATATCTATTGAAGCAAGCTCTAACACAATGTAACACATGATTTCACAAATTTACGAAAATACAAGATTTTTCATGGTGTGTATATGATACTTGTGTCTACATGAAGAAGCTAAATAATGAGATTGTGGTAACCCACTTTTGGTATTTATGCGGAATTTAAAACAATTTTGGAAAACTGTACCGGAGCAGCAGTGTAAATAGCGATCGGTACATTTAAATAGAGTGAAACTTGATGATTTCGGAGAATCATCGAGAATCATCGAGTTGGGCGCAATGTCCGGAATAGGCGCTTGCCCTGAACGATCGACTATGAAGGAGTTCCCCTTTGGCGCAAGGCGCATAATCCGCCTTTGGCGCTAGAGGAATCCCTCAGAATCTATGCAATTCCCAAACACCTTGACTTGGTTAGAGTCCCGTTGGAAAGAGCTCGACGCGCTCGTTCTAACGAGCCCAAGAACGTCCGGAACGGAACAGTACTCAGGGAGTTGTGACGGTCAAAAGATACGAAGACTTTCGCCTACGCATAGGCAAAATGAGTTTGACGTCGGCGGGAAGTTCGCCGAGAATGCCGCCTACGCATAAGCAGGGAGGACTTGCACCTACGCATAGGCGGACGTATTTCGCCTGCGCATAGGCACTTCGCCCTGGGCGGGAAATCCGCCTTCGGGGTTGGAACTTGTACGGCGCCTTCGGCGCCAGCGCATCACGGTTAGGTGAGGACCCAACGGAGTAGCGAATCCGTACGGACGAATGCGCCCTCGGCTGGTCGGGACTTCGGAGACAAGAGCGCCGACGGAGCGGCGAGGGAGATGGACAGACTGGACGGATTCCGTTGACCGCGGTCAACGCCTTCGGCACAGCCGCCTTCGGCGCTGCGCCTACGGCGAGGGACCTACACGGACGAACGTCTTGCGTGCGGAAGGTCAGCGCCTACGCACAGGCGGATGGAGTTCGATGCCGGCGGAAAGTCCGCCGGAAATTCCGCCTACGGAGATGGGAGTTCCGCTTCGGACCTGCGCGCGGACGAACGCCTTCGGCGGAGCGGGACCAGCCAAGTCGAAGTTCGGATGAGTGTAGCGCGTCGGTGAGAAATACGCCTTCGGCGCTGCGCGACCATGGCCGCGGCGTAGTACGCTGGCGGAGTTCAAATTGCCAATTCGAGCGTGTGAGTGAAGGCGCGTCGGCGGAGCGTGAAGCCGCGCGTGAGAGAGAGGGCCGTTATACCTCCGAGCCGGCGTAGCCATCAAGTGATTCGACGTTCACGACCGAGAGCCGACCATGACACCCTGCGAGCGGACAGAGGACACTCCATTCTTGAATTTGCGATTTCAATTCCTTCTGCGAGCTGCGCGCGTCCACCTTCTAGCCGAGAGACGTTCTAGACACCACCGCGTAGAGATTTACCCGGTGGCAGAGAGAGAATTGAGTGCGCGACATTTGGAATTGAGTGAGATTAGAGTTTGCAGAGGAAACAGAACCGCGGGCAAGAGGCTTGGGCATCGTAGAGAGAAGGGTGCGCAATCCGATTTCAAGAACGCGATGTCGACGTCGATTAAGCTGCGGATGGTTCCACTCAAGCTCCCGCAGAGTGGGTTGCGTGCTGTTCAAGACCGGCTGATTGCGAGGAAACTCGATTTCTTGCTGTGGGGATGGAATTACGTGTGCGGAGACATGGTGCGCGAATGGCTGAGCGAGAGACAGCAACCTACGCGCGGATTCCATCCGCACGTAGATCGTTGGACTGTTCACGATTGAGGACAAGCATTGGGAAGGTGTGCAGGCGAGGACGTGTTCCTCCTATTCGACAGTGAGAGCGCCAAGGTGTCGAAGGCGGAAGAAGCCTCCTTTGTGGAATTGTTCAAGCGGGAGAAGTCCAGCAAGAACGGGTACAAGACCCGGGACTACAGAGATCGTTTCCGCAGAACCGTAGCGATGGCACTGCTGCAACTTTTGCAGCCGCACCGCACTACTTACATCACTTTGTGGCAAGTGTCCTTCGTGGAGCTCACATTGGCCGGAGCTCCAGTTCACTGGTCGCGTATCATGCATAGAGTAATGCGACAGCATGCGTTTGAAGAGCGGGGAGGAAAGCTCAATCACCTCTCCCCCTTCTTGATAAACTTTTATTGGTCGATGGGTTGCTTAACCGCGACCGAGCGTATTCAATTTCTGCCATTGACAGTCGACAATCCCGGGAAATATGTGCGGGATAACGAAGTCAACACCGACGCGGAGGACTCTCCGACTTCCACTCCACCGGGTCAGCAGGATGCGGGGAGGATAGCAGCACGAGTACCGCGGAAGCGGAGATGGAGAGAGGAACCGGAGAAGGAGCAACATCAAGAATCAGCTGCTCTCACCCGGAAGAGGCTACTGCACGAGATCTGCAGTCGGCCGAAGCAGAAGGCGCGCATGCTTTTGTTACCTGCCAGCAGCGCGGAAACGGCGATGATTGCCGGAGAGAAGGAAAGTCCATCCTTGGAGAAGGATGGGACTGCGCGGACGGCGGAGGGATCAGCGGACCACCCTATGCCCTCGGCGGAGGCGAGACGACCTTCGGGTCAGGAGCAACAACGTGCGGCACGGATGAGTGTGCCGCCTACGCATAGGCGACTCCCTGTGGATAGGCGACCCCTTGCGGGCGAAGACTTTCGCCTACGCATAGGCGAAGGAAGTTCGCCTACGCATAGGCGAGCGCCTACGCATAGGCAGGATTCACCCCCGGTGCAACGCAGGAAAGGGAAGGAGCTGGCGGAAGATCCGCCTTCGGCGAAAGGGCCTTCGGGCCAAGGGACATCGGGCAGGCCGCCTTCGGCTCACCTGCCTTCGGCAGTAGACGCCTTCGGCGCTGCGCCCTCGGCGGAAGCGCCGCCGGGAATTGCGCCTACGCATAGGCAGGACGCGCCCTTGGCGCAGGACCTAATGGTGGAGCGGGACCGATTGGTGGAGCGGGATCTAACAGAGGAGCGGATTGACTGTCCGCAGGGTGAAATTCGTGCGCGCGATGCACAATTGCACTCCGCGCAGGTACATTCCGCACGAGCGCCTTTGTCGGTAAACGCTTGCGGCGAGGAGGTTACAGTCGCAGCTGGGCAGGCGGACGATGTGAATTTGGCACGACCGCATTCACCCACCGCCTTGGACATTTTAGCAAGGAGCAGCGAGGCTGCAGGAGCGCCAACGGCGGCAGAGCACGCAGACATCTCGCAGCCCCGCACAGGTCTGTCGCCGACGAATTCAATGGCGACCAAAATCCTCAATTCGGAGGATGACGAAGAAGGAGGATCAACGGAATCAATGTCGGGATCG